ATCATCATTCTTCAATAAGAACATAATCGGAACCTCCTCGCGCATTCTAACGTCCGCTTTCAGAGAGATCAGCTCTCTAAAATCTTCGATCTCCTCGGCACCCCTACTAGTTCAGTCTCTCTTCCTCTTGCTCTCTCAATCATCCAGAATAGATGTTATACTATTCTCTTTTTTGGGATGGTTTGTGTTGATAATGAGTAGAGGAAGAATGGCCATCGATCGTCCATTTGCCGGAGTATCCGAACATGAGCCGCTTCGAAAAGCGAGTCCCCCCCTCCCCTCCCCTCCCCAAAAAAATGAGAAAACTAACCAAGCAAAAAAAAAAATTATAGGACGACGAACGGGTTACGACAATGGTACATGACGAAGACGACGAGCCACCGGACGACACCCGGCCCGCCCACCACCCCCACCCCCACAACAACAACAACAGCAGCAGCAGCGGCAGCGGCAGCCGAGCTGGGGTACCAATTGATGAGCGGGCTGTTACGGTACGACCCTGCGGAACGGACGAGTGCGGAGCGAGCGCTGAGACACGAGTACTTTAGTCGGGCGGAGCCGGCGGCCAGTCGGGCGAGCTTCCTCCCCCCGCCCGCATCCTCCTCGTCCCCCTCCGACCCGCACCAGCCTAAACTCCAGCAAACCCATCATCATCATCATCTTCATCCGATCAAGTATCCCTTGCGGAGGGTCTCTCCTGACGACACCGATCCCATCATGGCCAATGATCACTCCAACTTCATCCATAATCCTCAGCGAAATCTTCTCTTGCGCCCGCCCTTCCAACACCCTCATCATCTTCATAACAACAACAAGCCTAATAATTCCCGCCCTCCCTCCTCCTCCTCGCTCGCCGACGCCTCCGCTCTTCCTCCTCCTGCCAGTCACTACCCAAGCTCCAGACCGGCCTCCTCTTCTTGCTCTAAAAGAGCACGCTATGATTGAACCTATAGCCCCCTCTCTCTCTTTTCTTGTGCTCCTCCCCGATCGATCACTTGTTGTATTTTCTTCTCCTAAACATAGAAAGAACTCTTAATTTTTATATAGAATGTTGTCTGTGAATGTGTGAGAACCATCCATCTTCCAAAAACCAATAACAAAACACAAAAACAAACAAACATAGTAGGTATGTATGTCTGAGGACAGACAAAAAAAAGGAAGAAGAAATAGAAAATCAACCGATGCGGGCCCGTTTGGAAGTCTGAAGCGAGGGCTTCTTGAGATGCGAAAGCAGCTGCTCGACCGATCTGTTGTTCTCCTCACCAGCCATCGACCGCTCACCATCACCATCATTGTTGTTCTTGTTGTCTTCCATACTTGGCGATGGTGGGGTGAGAGGGCGGGCGCGTTTGGCGCGGGTAGAATCCAACAACTCGAGCATGTTTTTGGACTTGATGAACCTAGACGAATAGATCGCGCAAAAGCAAACGAACCAAAACAAAAAAAATCAACAAGATTGTATAAGGGGGGGTAAAGGGGAAAAATGAAGGAAGAAGGGAAGGAGACTCCACTGAGGATTAGAAGGATCGATGGCGAGCTCGGGGTCGCGGACCAACCCGGGTCCGAACCTAGGATCGTCGACATCGACCTGGAACCGATCGAGCTGGTCCGGCGGATCTCCGTCGAGTTGCGCGACGAGCTTGCGTCGGGTCTTGGTGGACAGCTTGGCCTTCTTGGCCGAGAGTTTCTCGAGTTTGAGGATCTTTGAGAGGTCGAAGTGCCGATCTGAGCCGAGACTCTTGGGCTCATCAGAATGAGCAGCGGTGACAGGAGGCAGGAGATCGTCGACCATCAAGAGTGCCAGCTCGTCGGCCTCCCTCTTCTCCCGATCACTCTTGCTCCCTCTTGCCGTCCGGTCATGATGTTGGTCATCGGGCTTTGCCGGGGACTCCGGCTTGGCTTTCAACTTCTCCTTGATCCGTTGGTTCTTCGACTTAGGCGGCGGCGGGTCGGAAGCAGCAACAGACGGAAGAGGGCGGTCGACGAAGCCGGGCTTGAACGAGATCTCGAGCTCCCCGTCGTCGATCTCGGCCGGCTCGTCGGCCACCAAGCCGAGCTTCTTCCGCAGATCCCCCATCCCGACCCCGGCCTTCCTCCTCCTCGTCCCACCCTCCGCATCCTCCTCCTCTGCTCGATCCCCATCAGACCCCCGCTCCTCATCGCTCGAACCCGGCGCAATAAACCGTCCAAAATCTAGCTCGTCCAGCTCTTCTTGCGTCAACTTCTGCGTATTCAGACGCGTGTATCTCTTCCGGATCGGGTCCTCGTTGTCCCACGTCAACTTGACTTTCGAATGCCGCAAAACCTACCCCCCCCAAAAAAAAGAAACCATCATCAACTCTTGATTCGTCTAGATAAACAAAAGGGGGGGATGAAGGATGGAGGACTGACGTCGGTGCTGAATTCGAGCGGCTGGTAGTCGTTGGTGTCCGCATCACATTCGTCGGCCAGATCGGCCTCGTCGAACTCCATCTCGTCGGGCACATAACTATCCACCCCATCCCATCAACCACACTAACCGGGAAAAAAAAACGGGGCAGTCAAGAAGAAAGAAAAAGAGACGGGGCAGCTGACCTAAGGTCGAAGATGTTAGCGGTCCCGTATCGAAACTCCAGTCCCCGTCGGATTTCCGCCAAACCACGGTGTTTGGGGCAGTGGGCCGTCGGAATCGAGAAGAAGACGGATCGCATAGAAGTATCGCAGACGGTCCAGTTGGTATTGGCGCAAGGCTTTGTCGTCGAACTCGGCCCCATTATCGAGCTCGACCAGCTCTTGATCCTCATCTTCGTGCGAGAAGGGGACGGAAGAAGAAGTCTTGAAGATCTCTGCCGGCGGGCCCTCCTCATCCTCTCTCCTCATCCGCTCCTTCCCGAACTGGCTCTTGTACACCTGCACCCGCTCCACCCGTCCTTCGACCCGCTGGCTGAGCCGGCCAGTCTGCTGCTGCTGCTTGTCCGTCGGCTGTCTGGCCGACCCAGTCGAGGCGGCCGGGCCAGACTGCGGATCGCTGTGGATCGGGACACTCAGGACGGACGAGAAGACTTTGTAGATGTCGATCGGCTTGAGATGGTCCCAATCCAGATTGACTACCGCGATCCGTCGGGTCGGATGGATCTGTGGTCTGCTCTCTTCTTCTTCTTCAATCCTCTTCTGCAACCCTTCTTCTTCTTCGAGGATGTCTTCGTTGAGATCTATCTCGAGTTCTTCTTCTTGTCTTCGGTTCCTTTTTGATCCTGGGCCTAGTTCTACATCCTCCTCTGAGTCGGAATCCGATTCCAATTCTTGATCGTTGATGATGTCTTCTTCTTCGTCTTCGTCTGAGCTTTCTAGGATCACTCTTCCTCTTGCATAGTCGATCACTTTAAGGTATCTCGATCGATTTGCTTTTGTTTTTCTTCTTCTTTTGTGTTGAATCTGATAAGATGCACAATGGTCAGTCCTTGTTTCCACCTTTTTTTTGTTTTAGTGTTTTGTTTACCATGGTTAGTAGTGAATCGATTGTCGATTGGTTCTTCTTGTTCAGTTTTTGTTTTCCTGTTCTTGTGTTGTTTGTTGTTTGGTTTGATGAATCTTGGGTCGTGGTGGATTGAGTTGAATCTTGGGTCTTTGATTCTTTCGCTCATCGTGAATATCTGTCGTCGTTTTGATGATTATTTTTGCTGTGTTTGACTCTCTGGGGGGTGTGGTTTTGGGTTTATGCATCTGTGGGGGGGGGGGGTTTGGGTTATGCATAACTGGGTATGCATAAGGTGAGGGGGGGTTAAGTTGTTGTATGCATTATGAGTTTTTTCACACTCAAAATTTTTTAAACCCAGCTCACAGCAACAACCAACAACCAACAACAACAACAACCAACAAACAACACAAACATCAACAACGATGGCCAAGAAACAAAACAGTCCGACTTCAACAACTATCACAAACAGCCCATGTCTAACTGACTCAACTCAACAACAACAACCAAAAACAAAAACAGAAAAAGAACCAAAGAGCTATCCTCCCTCGATCACCTCTCTACCCACCTCTCAAAACGGATCATTCTCCTACCACCACCAACCAAACCAATCCCAATCAAACCAACAACCGATCCTACACAGATGTCGATTCACTGACTTCACCCCAGCTACCATCACTGCCATCGCCTGCTCACCACCCACCTGGGACTCAGCCTACCACTTTGCCAGCTCATCAAACCAGCAACATCCAGCAAACCCACATCGAGGTCTGCTAGCAGTCGGAAGAGGCAATGGGGATATCCAACTATGGATCTGGCTCAACGAACCCTACCAACAACAACAACAGCATCAACAAAACAAACCACTTCATCATAGAAAGAAACTCAACTCACCCACCTCCTCCCCTCAAGCTTGGACTCTCTATCGCACCCTCCCTGGACATCTACCCTCCAAGAACGGCCCCAAGAACACTCACTCTCAATCCAGCTCAAAAGTCGAACATCTCATCTTCACCCATCAATTCATACCCTCCGACTTCGAGCCCGAAGATGATCCTCAGATCGATCACGATCTGATCAAAACTATGGCCCGTACTCCCCCCAGATTACTAGGAACTAATGGGGCTGATGAGGTTCTCGAGTGGGAATGGGATGGCCCAAAAGCTGGGACGATCAAGGTGAGCGTGTTTCCTATAGACCGGATCAAACAGAGCTCTAATTGCTCCCCATTCTTTCACAGCGCACGCTCGCCATGCCGCCCTCGGTTGCCATCTGGTCTCTGTCAGTCTCACCAGGATCGACGAGACTGGCGATCGGCTGTGACGATGGAGCGATCCGAATCGCCAACATTGCCGACAACCAACTAGAACTCATCCGAAAGTTGGACCCATGCAAAACCCGTCTCTTGAGTCTCTCCTGGGGCATCCTTCCTGGATACGCTGCTTCTTCACCAACAGGCTCGACTAATACCTATCCGATCGAACCTCCCGACTCTCATCTCTTTCTGGTTGCCGGTTGTGCTGACTCCAGTCTCCGGAAATGGGCCGTTAGCTCTGGCAGATGCGTCAACCGAATGACCGTCGAAAAACTTCAGGGTGAACAGACTTTGGTGTGGACTGTCGCGATCGTCAAGTCAGTCCTCTCCATTCCTCCCTTTTTTTTTGGGATTAACCCCACAAAAGAGCTCCTCTCTCATACTGTCTCTGTTCTTCTGCGTGGAATAGCGGTACAATCATCTCGGGTGATTCGGTTGGCAATGTACATTTCTGGGACGCCAAGTCGTGTTCGCGTCGACAGACGATCCGAGCCCATCGAGCGGATGTGTTATGCATAGTAGCCTCGCCGGATGGCCAATCGGTATTCACCTCTGGAGTAGATCAGAAGACCTGTCAATTAACTCTGAACATCCAGCAAGCCCAAAAGACAGGAGCAATCTCCCAATCCCGATGGTTATTGTCCGCCTCCAGAAGATTGCACTCGCACGATGTCAGAGCACTAGAGCTCTCGCCGCCCTACAACCCGCTCCTAAACTCAGCCTCCGCCTCCACATCCACCACCACCACCTCTTCGTCGTCGTCGTCGCTCAAGTTCATGAGCCAAGATGTTCATGGAATGGTACCCGTACTCATCTCGGGCGGTCTGGACATGTCCTTAGTCTTATGTCCCGCCGGGCCACCCAGCTCGAGCATGTTGAGTGGCAGGGTGAACTTCAACCACCTCCCCAACCCGGTCTCAGACTCCTTCTCGGTCTCCTTCGCCGACTCGATGCAGCGCAAGATCTCCTACGCCACCCAGCGCGAACCCGTCGTCAATCTCAGCCCGCTTGCCCATCTCCTCGTCTGTCGAAACTCGCAACGGATCTCCATCTGGCATCTCCGATCTTCCGTCTCTTCTGATCCCCATCTCTTCCTCAAAGCTGGCCGTCAAAAATCCGCTCATCTACTTGCTCATGACGATGATGATCATGGTGATGCTGGGCAAGCTGCTTGGGCTAAAGTAGTCGAAATGGACTTGAAAGTGCGTCTTTCTACTTCTCTCTCTCTCTCTCTCATCTTGATCAAACATTAGCTGATCAGCTTTTGTTTTCTTAGTGTCGAACCAACTTGATCACTTCGGCCATCTCAGCCGATGGACGATGGCTTGCGGTCTCCGACCTATACGAAGTGAAAGTGTTCTACTTGCACAAAGTCGATGAGGTAATTCAACCGCGACGGGTGAAAGGATTTGAGGCGTTTCCGAGCGAGTGCGGGAAGAAGAAAGGGTCGATGAGTCAGGGGGCCCGATCGATCGAGTTCTCGGCGGATTCGAGCCGTTTGGTGCTTGCCGGAAGTCTGTCGAGCGATGTGGTGGTCATGAGCTTGGGGTTTCTAGACGGAGCGCCCCAGATCAAGCTCTTGAGAGTCTTCCCCCATCGCGCGTCGCCCCGGTTGGTCGATCTTGTCGACCTGCAAAGACCCGTCATCACTCCTTCCTCCATCATCGCTACCACGCCTTCCCTCGAAAACGCCTCTACTTCCCCTTCTTCTCCCTCTTCTTCTTCTTCTTCCTCTGGAGATCTGGATCCTTCTGGTCTTCCTCATCCTTCCAACTCTGAGTTCTCTCTCGTCGATCACTCCCCGCTCTCGTTTATCTCCAAAATCGCTATCAGTCCTGATGGACAATGGCTCGCTACTGCCGATTCTAGAAAAACTTTGCATATCTTTAATTTGGATTCCATGAAGGTAAATTCCTTCCAACCGTCAAAAATTTCCCCCCCCCCCCCATCTCATGATGAAAAGAGAGAGACTGACTTTGGAAAGGTATTGTTTTGAAAAAATAGCATCATTGTTATTTGACGATGCCGGGAATGTTGGTGAACTGTCTCGCGTTTCCAGGCACGATGCCATCGATGATTGTGGTTGGCTTTGCGACGAACGAGCTGGAGGTGATTGATGTCGAGAGTCGAGAGCGGCCCTCATGGGCCGTCGAACTCAGCCATAGCAATCAAGGCCAGATGGCGGGTCTTCGGGAGATGCGGGACTCGATGATCGGGATCGAGTTCGGGCCTCTTGGTAGCAGCAGTAGTAGTAGCAACCGTCATCAGAAAACAACGGATGTGGTAGCCGGCGACCAGCCCGGTCTTCCTAAACCTTCGACGGATCATTCTCGGCCCATCGAAGGGCTGATTTGGGCGGCTTCATGGGTGGCCAAGATCCGGCTCCCTACCACGTCCCCTTCTTCATCCTCTCCCCTCACCCCGATGTCGTCGTCGTCTTCTTCTTCTTCGTCTGTCTTAGCCCCGTCGGCTCTGCTGCCTCCGTCGACTCTCAAACGGCCCCGAGATTCGTCTTCCCCTCTTCCTGATCCCTTGATCCCATCCTCCTCATCGTCGACGACGACGACGACGAGAAGAAGTCAGGATCGGTTGACGGTCGCCGTGTCTCGCAAGTATCAGGCCGTCCTCGCGCTCGGGCTCCTCGACCACCACCAGATCGTCATCGTCGAAAGACCCTTCTTCGATCTCTTGAATTCCCTGCCCACTGCTCTTCATCAGCACCAGCACAATCATCAAACTCATGATTCGCAGACCGGGTTGCCCCCCGTTTGGGTCCGCACTGGCGCCTATGGAACTTAGTTTCTCACCCGTTTCTTCTGGGTCCTCGGTTTGCTTTGGCGGTTTTCCTTTTGAGGGGAGGGATGTCAGAATCAGACAGATTTCACTTCATCTACATCTTCTTCTGTCTTTCCTCTCGATCAGGTTGCTTTGGTTTCTCTAATCTCTTCTAATCTTGTTCTTGTCCCATTCATTAGACTTTTTCTTTTTCTTTCTTTTTTTTTGTTTCTTCTTCAATCTTTGGTCTTAAGAGTAGTTCAAGTTATTCATATTGATAGATAGATATATATATTTAAAACTTTGGAAATTTTGAAGGTTTTGAAATAATTGGGTGAGAGTTCTTGGGCCATGTCAATAATTAATGGATGGATGTTGATGTGAATGTGTTTATGATTGATGTGAATGTGTTTATGATTGATGTTAATGATTGATGATTGATGCTAATGATTTATGATTGATATTCATGTGTTTATGATTGGTGGTAATGATGTTGATTTTGATTTATGGTTATGATTGTTTGTATGATCACCTTGAGTAGAATTGATTGCAAATGAATCTCATCAAATCCACAAACCAACCCCCCCCCTTTCCTTTCCTTTCCTTTCTTTCTTTGTCCCTCACCAACAGGCTCTCCTCTCCTCTTTCTTTGTTGGGGGGGTTTATGCACTAGATATGTTCATGTTCATTTGTTATTATTTGTACGGAAATGGGCCAGGCTGAGTTGGGGAAGTGTTTTTGTTTGTTTGTTTGAGGTCTGTTCACTGTTCCGCACCATCTGTTTGTGGGTGTACGTTTTTGAAGGATGTCTGAAAACCCACAAAGGTCAAGCTGTGTCCACTCATGGATCTCAGGCGTGCAAGTGGGGATTTGTCTGGAGACCTCTTGTTGAGGATGTGCAAGCCCTCATTAAACTAGACCTCCCAGTTAATCTTGTAGCATTGTTGAGCATTCGAGGCCTTTGTTTGTCTCTCGAAATTTGCAGGCTACACTGTCCTAACATGCTGATAAGTGCAATTTCGGCCTTGTAGCAGCCTGTTATAGCAACAAGAAGCATTTTTTTGGGGCAAAAAGTACAGTATAGCATAGGGGAAAACTGTTGGTTTATAAGCACAGATCAGACCCAGAAAAGTTGACATTTATATTGCACCTATCATTGAGTAATCTTATCACACACATCACTTACCAACTCGGTTCACTCAGCAGATTTGCAAAGTGATTTCTGTTATCTACCCAAGAAATCCCAGGTTCAAGTCTGGAATTGTTTTTCCTCAAACATGTTTTTTTTTAGTTACAACACATATAACAGGGGCCCGCTTTTAATTTGTAGTGTGAGCATGCTGCTAACAGGTGGCTTGTTTTTTTCTGTGTAGTGTTAGTGCACCGCTACAGTGCATTGAGCGGCAAAAAAGGCAAAACAAAAAAACACTAAAAAGCACAGTAGTGCAGCGTAGACTAGCGGGCACTTTTTTGAGCCTTGTGCGCAAAGTGTTAGTGCAGACATGTGCGATCCCACTAACAGTTAGCACATTTTTTTTACCATGTGGGTGTGGTGTTAGCGCAGTTTTGTGTATCTGTGCTAACACTACACTAAAATGTAGTGTGTTTTTGCTACACTAGGCTAGACTAACGCTGCGGTTAGCCTAGCTGGCCCATTGTTGTCAGAAGCCTTACATTGGTGGCTTTCCCATGAGCTGGTTGTGGTTTTGATTGTGTTTTTTAATTTGGTATCCAAGAGGGACACCTAAGAGAATCTCCAAGTGAGAAGAGATGAGTTGGGCTGTCTTGATCTTCCGAAGAAGTTAGAACCTAACAAAATCTCAAACTGTCTCAGCCTAACAGGTCTCCCTGTGAATGAACTCAAAAGTGTATATCATGAGTGAGCACCAGCTTAAAGAAACACAATGTGAAATAGAAAGGAAGAAAAGAAATAATCACCTAGAAGCAGTAGATGACAAGTAAAAAGTACAATAATGTCTTATGATATAACAGGAGAAAGAAGAGGAAGAGTTCTGACAAATGAAAAGCGGTTGATACATGAACATCAAATAGTAGAAGATCTGTGAGGATAACCTACATAAAAAAGGTCGCAGGAAGATGATGATCAATGAGTTGTTTGCTGAATGGAAGGGATACAGTCAAATGACATGACCAATTGAGTGATTTTTGACAGGAAAGATGGTTGAGTGTTTCTGAGAAATGAAATCAGTGAGTGCTGTCCAATAGGCAAAGATATGTGTCAAATAATAGCTATGAAAGACAATTAGATAAGATAAGATTGCTAATCATTCTAGTGAAAGAAGAGGAGGAATTTGGTGGAGATTATTCCTGAGGAATGGAAAATGAGAAGCATCTCAAGGAAAGAGAAAATTGATAAGGAAAAGGAAAGGGGAACTTGCAGAGTGATGACCGCGCAAAGAAAAAGAGACTAGAGGATCGTGTGGAGTGATGACTGCACAAGAGATTTGGAGGGTTTGAGCATAGTGATGTCATTGCAAGGATTGGAGCATGATGGCATCACAGTTTCAAAATTGGGGGAAAACAAAATAGGGGCTAAGCAAGTCCAGGAATGGGGCTTAGACATCAACACTCCCAACTGCAATTCTTTTCAATTTTTTCCAAGCCGCCCTGGATAGAGAGGCACAATAGCCAGCCAGGTCCTGATTTTATCAGGTCTGTTTGAATTTGATAAATGATCTATACACAAGCTGAGGAAAATTGTGAGATACTCTGGAAAGTTTTGAGGTCTTATGGACCCATATAATGCCCATTTGAGAACTTTTTGACAAGCCAATGTTAGCGAAAAGTTAAGACTTTTTCAATCCTGGTTAAGCCTAGTTCTGAAAATAGTCCAATCCAACCCCACTCTGTTGAAGATCCCCTAATTAGGCTTCTAAATGGCAATGGGAAGTCCTCCATTTACTGTGTAGCTTAATTTTGTTCAGTTTACAAAAGAGTCTTACAAGTCTTTCAAGATTCAATTTAGAAATATCCTTTGTTTTTGTGTCTGCCTTTTTGCACCCCAAATATTTCACCTGTGTACACCAAAAAATGTGTGCACTCCAAGGATTCTTTGAGTGAACTATCACACACTCAAGATTTTCTTGCATTGCCCTGCCACACTGGCACAACTAACCCTCTCATAAGCAGGTGGGGGGCGCTTCCCAAAGGGACTCTTTGTAGGAGAGGTTTATGAGTAATACCAAGATTTTGGCTTGAGCACTTTGAGAATATGTGGCTTTTAGGAGTCATTTTGACTTTGGAACACAACTACAGGGAGCATGGTGATCTGGAGGAGGAGCCCCAAGCAGTGGAAGGAGCCAAGCATCCTGGCTTCAAAATGGTGCAATCAAAGTGTCCATTGAGCTCATAAGCAGGACAAACCAAGGGCCCTCAGAAAGCGCTTGTCTCTTTGGCACCGTGTACTATGTGAAGCCACAACACAACCAGAAGTGGTAACATGACCTTCAAAGTTCAATAAAGGTAATGGAATCTGAAATGCCAGATGTTTGAGGTGTTTTACACTGAGAGTGGATGGGAGTGAGGCAATGGGAACTACACCAAAAGATGTGCAAAGATGAGATGAGTCTCATGGTCCAAAGGGCATCAGCTTTGCTTTAGGGGAAGATGATTAAAAACAGGATAGCAAAGTCACCACCAAATGGCCTCAGGTGCTCAGACAAAAAACCTGACTACATGCAAGCCCCTCCTTTGGAGGATTGCTTTGTGAGGGGTGCTTTGTGCCAGCAAGGCAATACCAGGCTCAATGAATGGATGTGCTTGGGCTTGTGTTGAGCTAGCCTACCACACACTCCAGAGTTTTTTTGAGTGCACACCCAAAGGAGAAAAACTTGATTATTTTTGAGTAAATGGATGTGCACCCCAAAAATTTGGAGTTCATGGCTTTGCTCTCCTGTTGTGTCATAATATTGTTGATAAAGGTGTCTTAGAATGGGTTTTAAATTTGTGTAGTTTAACTGTGAACCCACACCTGTCCTATTCACTCATTAAGAGGCTACTTTTTTATTATTATCTAAATTGATATACATGTGAAGAGAATGTCTAAATAAATCTAATTGTGTCCAGAAATATGTTCAAAATTTACGGTAGGAAATGATATTATATAAGAGGATAAAAAGCAAAAAGCAATTATAGTTAGGCATGTATGTAGGATATAAATGTACAGGTTTTTTTTCTTTTTACATCAGATGTAAATTGACAGGGTTTTCTTTTGTAAGTGATTGAACTTGAGGGTCAAAAGAACTAAAGAATCCGACTTCTTGCTCTTTGAGAAGACCTGCTCGATCGTACATCCGCGCGAAGACCCTCTCGCAAACGTTGAATAGCTTTGAAGTGCCCACCAATCCATTCTTCTTCCACCAAGTCTTCACTTTGAAAGGTGTCTAGTTTTAACCAATCCTGTCTTTCGGGTGAAGCCTTTCGCGCCAGTTGCTGACGAGCAGATGCGTGGCTGTATGCGGAGTATGTTGAAGAGTTGGATATCTGGCGGTCTAGACTTGATTGGTTTTTTTCGGTTCGGATGAAATCATTCGACGGCCTGGCCCATTCCGACCTTCCAATGCTCAAGTTGTCGTCACGATAGGCAGCCTTCAAGCCCAGAGCAGGCACCTTCTCTACCCCAGATTTTTGAATCGGCGTTCTTTGGGCGGATAGACTTATCAGTTCCAAAGGGCCACCCTCTTGTATTTTCCGCTCACTGCCTCCAAGTGAGCCCAGGCTGGTTACCGGCTGGGAAGATTTGAATTTTGATGAACCAGATGTTTTGGATTTTAAATCGCTGGGTAGTTCCGGTGTTGGAGAGAAAGCCACAATGCAGGCAACCTATCATCAAAGGAAGTGTCAGTTGGAGGTAATTGAGGGGGGGAGGGGGGGGGGGGGGTCATTGAGATGACTATGTGTGTGTATTTTACTTACAATTCCCAGAAGAGGTCCCGATCCACCCCTAATGATTCACCAAAAAAAGGATGTTTCGTCAGCCTTGGATTGGAGAAAATATTAAACGGGCCTCAATTACTGACCCCCACGTCCAGTTTGACCAGACAAAAGCCTGAATCAGCTCGTCTTGACCAGATGAATTAGCCCATTTGCTCACTGGATTCGATTCAAGATCATTGGTCAGATTTCAATTTGACATTTTTTTAGGAACAAGAACGACGTACATAACCAACCGGCCATTATCAGGTAAGAAGCAAACATTCCTAAGCCAATGACAGTTTGTCCCAAGGTAGAATACCAGTAGCGAATCAAAGTCGTACAGTGCTTCTCAAGTGCAGCATCGTTGGGACACACATACGGTTCGCCTTTTTCATCAACCTGAGATGCGTCGTCGGATAACGACTTCGGTGCATGCACTGGGATATTCAGTTGATGGATTCGGTCCCAGAACACGTGTCCATTTAGGCTTTCGTCATTGGCGAAATCTATCCATGATCTCCAAGTCCATGGGTTAAAACTTTTGTGGTTTAATTTGGTTCTTGAAGCGTCGTGATTCGGGCGTGTGGGACTTGAGGGGGCCGACTCAATCATCCAGCTAGTAATGGAGTGACGGCTATCAATCTCTTCCTGCTCATGTTGCTGAATAATTTTGAGCGCTTTGCGATTTTCTAATGCTGATATGAGAAAATTCTTTTGAGACCCCAACGCATGCAGTAAGAAACTCGTGGAGATGAGGTATACCAGGATGTTGAAGCTCATCCAGACCATGACGAAAATGGTGTAGATTTTGAAGAGTATGGCTGCCTTGTTTGCGAATTTTTTCAAGAGGCCTATGTCAACGAAAGTTTGGAAAGCAGCATCATAGATGCTCGTGGCATCATCTTGCGGCGACACATCAATCACCATCTGAAACGACAAGTCCGTAGCAGATACTTGATGTCGGAATTTCTGGAGCGCCGTGCATAGAAGATAGACCAACGGCAGTTGTCCAAGTATTACGGTAATGATAATCAATGAGGTGACGGTATTGAATACGTGTGGCGACACGAGCCTTTGAGCTCTTGTCGAGTGAACCGCGTTTACTGGTAATCGCTGCTGCGAGAAAAGAAGTGCGTACAAAACGGCCCAGACTGTTCGAGTTGTCATCAAATGCAGTAAAAATTCAGTATGCATCCTATATACTGTTTGAGGAAAAAAGTTAGATGAATTACTTTTCAACCAAGCAAAAACTTGTAGTGTCTGGTAAGCTACCAGTTGCAGTGCCACGGGGATTGGGTCAACCGCATGTCCAAGATTCATCTCTACGCATATCACAGCACTCACATCCACTGAGCGGCAAGTTTAGAAGGTCATCATCTTCGCATTAGCCTCCTCGAGTTCTATCATTTGTTGAGATAAAGCAGTGGGATTTTAACATACAGATCACATAGAGTACCGCAAAAATTGGGAGCGTTGTATGCACATTGGGATGCCAATATCCTTCACTGTCTTTTTTGAAAACCCACGCTCCTCTGCTTCGTCGCTTGAAAAAGCTTAATGCGTAGAGCAGTCCACTGACGAAGGTCAAGATAGCGCAAACCCTGAGTTCGACAGTTTGCGTTGGAGTCCGTGTGAGGATGGTCGTTTGTTTGACGTCTTCGCGCAGTAAAGCCCACTGCTCAATTGTGGTTGGAACGAGCGCATCCATTTTTGGGTGGGCTGTGTGCAAGTGGATGCTTGTGAACAATGGTATAAGTTAAAGATAGCGATGGGTATGAAACTGGGTGGCGAGCCTTCACGATTATGATAAATGAGTGTAGTGTGGAGTAAATGTGGAGGCTTCGGGAAGGACAAGTATGATGAGTAAGGCTGCCTGCGAAGGCCGACTTTTGTTGGTAAAATTCTTCTCATCACGTTCGCACACATGTAAATTTCTGTCTGGGCAGGCTCAGCTAAGACCAGTCCAGATCGGTAGAAACGAATGAGATCAATAGGATTCAGACACGATTGGCTAGCTAGAGAGCTGCGTTACCATAGTGAAGCATCATAGGTGAACGTTGGTTCTGGGTTCTAAAAAAAGAAAACAGCAATTATAGAGGCCTGAGCGTTCGACATGTTCTTGGATATAACCAGAGCAGGCTGGGTGGTCACCGGTTCTGATCTCCCGAATCAGGCCAACAACCCGCGTGCACATTTGAAGTTTGCCATGGACGACGGTAGTGAGCACATGCAATCCTAACCATTGGACCAAAGGCGGATGCGGACTATTGGAGATACGAAACATCTAGGACAATTGACTGTTGAATTGCAACCAACTTGAAGCAAGGCAGCTCCTCGGATAAAGGGCGCCAAAGGCTCGGGGCGAACTGCCAGCGGAGGCACTTTGCACACAGAGCACATCGTGCTCACGGTTTTCTCCGCTGAATTAGTATGTTCTTGCTAGGCTGTGGCCAGCTTAGAAGCCTTCTCGCGGCTTAACCCATCATAAGGTGTCTTTGATTGCCACGAGGTCCACACCTGCCCTTCTTAGACCGAGGCAAGGTTGACATACTTAAAAGGAATCCGACCAAATCAATTTTGCATGGCTGCCATGCGGACTTATTACTCTCAAGTGAATTGAGCCGTGGAATTATATCGCAGCCGGCGCATTGCTCCGAATCCGCACAGTAAACAGACTCAGCGTGCCAGCTACCCTGATGCTCTCAAGAGATGTTTTGTTGGACTCGGAACCGGATTACCAAGCCGTCAATGCTGTGCTCACTTCTACATATCCGTCGTCATACGCATGCATCATAAGCTGATCTATGGAATACATTTTATAGACATTAATGATGCGCTGAGCGGAAAATATATCTGTGACTGTATGTGTTTATGTGTGTACATTCGAAGGCAACGCCAGAAACCCTCAGACCCCATCTGCCAAGGTTGTCACATTTTATCCATTTGGTCAAGATGTCTAGCAACGGTTGAGCCAGGTAATTGCGCCAGCAGGCTTCAAGATACCAGATCCGCTCTGGTACATATCTATATACCTTGAAGCCTGCTGGGGCACTCTTTTAGTGCAGAGCGGCAGGAAGGCTGGAAGGCTGGAAGACCTAGGGACCCGTATCCCGGGCGCCAGTCCTGTATCTTGAAAAGAGCTCATAATTTGCCTAGGAAACAATTAATCGGCACAGAGATGGCCAAATGTGGGTTAAAGACGGGTGCCAGCGGGCGTAGAGTCAAGCCAACAAGAAGGCGCGACTGGACGTTGTCACTTGCAAATCTAGTTTCAAGGTCAGAAGAAACTGACTTGTCAGTACCTCCTCGAGATTGTGACAACCAAGGCGCAAGACAGAATCAAGACGGTGGTCATGGCTGGCGATTCGATGGCAATTCCGCTATATAATGGGCAGCCAGACTTCTTCTAATTAAGGCTTAACTCACAATCCGCCTACCACTTCTTAATCCCTCTCCTAGGCTTTCTGCGGATAATTTCTTGTCCTACTTTCGACAAGTGTCTTATAATACTTTCACTTCTAAACCACCCTGCTTCGTTGACAAAATGCAGTCATTCTTAACGATCGCCAGTGTCTTAATTTTCTTTCACTCTTATTTGTTCATTGGCGCCAAGCCGACTGGAACTCTCTTGCCGGGGTCCCCAAGCAAAACTGGCCCTTCGAAGATTTTCCCTTACCGAAAATATGAGGATTTCCAGGTAGGAACAAAGCGGATTCCTACAACGGCATCTCGCGTTTATGTGCCATGAAGACTAACACAACAATCTTTTTAGATTTCGGATGGTGTCGCTGGACAATCATTGGAGAATGCACAAAAGGTGTTCGTTACCCCGTTCGAGGGCAAGTTGTCCGAAATTACCCAAACAGACCTGAACAACCTTGTGGCTATGTCAATCGAAGCTATACAAAACGAGCAGCGTTTTAACCAAGCCCAAGGCGTGAGTAGAGTCGCATCTCGAAAGCCTCGCGCACCATATGCCTTCTTACTGATTCAACTGTCCTCTTTCTTTACCTTGGGATGGCAGAAAACTGGTGGATCCAAAAAGAATGGCAATCAAGCATTGGCTGCTGGCAAAACGGCCAACAAAGTTCTCAAATTAGTCGGTAAGCCTTTTCTACTTCTGTCTTCCAGAAAAAAGATTATATATTGACAGTCGAAAACCCAATCTTAAAAAAATAGGTGAAATCCAGGTTCTCGAGGTGAGCTTGTTTTTTCGTTTACCTCAGACATTTTTCGCTAATTACATTGATCCTCATTCTAAATTTGAATGACAATCGTAATCAGTTACACAAAAAGCTCAACCTCCAACAATTAGCGGACCCGGAGGCTAGGCTCAAAGAACATCAAGTCAAGTGAGTAAACCAAACGTGTCTAGAACCAGCTTCTCATGTGTTATTTCCAAATCATCAAAACTGATTTAAACCACATTGGAACAGACTCGCCAAAAACACCAAGTTGGACCGCGCGAACCGCGGAAAGAAGATGGTATCGTTTCTCTCTGTTGGTGCAAGTGGAGAAAAAGATAATAAAGAGAAAAAGTCTCACAAAGGAAACAAATGATCCGGAATCGACGAGTTTGAGCGTGCTTGGCGGGCTTCCTCAGGATTGAGAAAATAATTTTCATTCTTCACTCCAGCAAACCCAAGGAGTAGCCAGATTGAAGAAGTCTTGCAGATGTATAGCAAAGCCTGATCGATTTCATACATAAATTATTCTTACCGATTCGACATGTATGAATTGAACACCAAAGCAGCTTGTAAATGTTTCTTCTTCTCCAGACCAGTTGGTGTCATTTCTTGTGTACTTGTACAAATCCCCCCATAATTTTTGACCAAAAAAACAAGGGTTGATTGCCCAGTCGCAATGCCCAGATGCAGCTTGTAACTCCTCACATGTGTTTGTATTCACACCAATTTGTTCTCCAAGACCATCCATACTAGCCAGGTTCATTCGCTAGGTTCAGCAAATTTGCCTTAGGTTCAAACTTGAAAAAGACTGTCCTTTTTTGGAAGGAAGGGTGAATGTGCCAACAAGAGGTATTCCAGAAAAGTGCCCCCAATCTTCTCTAACAGTACCCCTGAAAGCCTCCCAATAGATGTTGTTGAGATGAAGTTGGCCAAAATGCCAAAATTCAACTCTTGAAATTGGTACAACTTTGAGACTGTAAATTCTTGAATGAAATAGTTCACTTTGGATACCTGAACCGGGCCAAACCCCATAAAATCCATGAACTTGACCCCAGAGTGTACCTATTAACAAGTGCTCCCCCATTTTAGGGGAATTCAGTCTCAACATACATACTTTTGCAGCATACTCTTGAAAAGGCATTTCAATGAAAAAGTTGCCAAAAGGAATGTACCCTTTTAACTGACACCTATCCTTGAATTTTACAATATTTTACGGCTTAACCTCACATTACGAGTTCAAACAAAAGTGGATTCTACACTTTCCAAACCTTGATAGTACTGGAGTACTTCCTGTGCAATCTGAAGCCCTTGAAGATGCTGATTTAGCCCCATAAATGCTTTTGAGGATCCAAATTCATTCAGAAGGGTGAAAGGTCTGCAGATATTGAGAAGTCCTGCACTATGGCCAGTAACAATCATCAAGAATCTTGAGCACTGTGCATGCCATGAAATTTCAAATGATGGCTGAAGTTTGCTTCATTTGACCTGTAAACTATTCCCTACATTATAACTTAATTTTTCTTTTCTTTTGCAGTCTGTGTTTTCTGTAATCAGAACACTCAGACAGTATTTCAAAGATAGTATCCAACTCCAATTCCACCTGGGAGGATTTTGTGAATATTGAGAGATGCAAGCTGTAAGCTTCCAACCCAGACAGATCTGGCACTACCCAAGTGAGCACCAGCAACTCTGAAACAAATATGGTATTTGCAATGCATTGGCATGTATCATGCTATGTATCACTGTCTTGATGTAAAATCTTTCATGACCAATGTGATTCTATGGCAAGTGTTGAACAATAAATGTGGCATTTTCCGGTATATTCTGGTACAATTCCCCATGATACAAACTTTGTATCATATTTGTTGCAGTACTATTAACAGGTTGGGCTGGTCACAGATGCATCCACAAGATACAGAGTATCCAATTTCATCTTCTTACATGTTAAAAACTGGCCCTTCCTAGCAGAAATTCACAGTTTTTAGGGGTTTTGGAATTTTTTCTGACTTTTTTTTCAATTCAAAATAATGGTTTTGGCTTTTCCCAGGCTTTCTTGTTTTTTTTTTTTTTTTTTTTTTTTTTTCACAGGCTGTCCTGGTCTTTTTTTGAACCCATGATCTGTTGGGAGGCCAGTGTCACAGCCGGATATTCTGGGTTTGGATCTTGGGAAGGCCATACTAGGGGTGAGGATGGGTCAGGTCGACCCACGGTTTGACCCGACCCAGCTGGAATCTGGGTCGGGGTGGGGCGGCACAAGCCCGGATTTCCCAATTTTTTGACCCAGTTGGGTTGGCCCACTAGGTGACCCATGGTGGGTTGGGTCACGCTTTTCCAAAAATGGACTACCCATGGGTCGACCCATGAGGAGGCCAAGTTTCAACATGCATGCTTTTGTTGAAACTTGCCCGGCATGCTGAGTTATTGACACACAGGAGTTACAACTCCCAAGTTCCAATCTGAGACATGAACAATGATAGTACAATCAACTAGAGTAGCTGGCCAATGATGGACCTAGTTGTCTTTCTTTTTTTATTTTTCTCTATTCTCCATTCACCTTTCTTTGTTTCTTACTCTTTCTCTCCAAATAAATACACTTCTTAAATGATTCAAAGAAGAAGGCATTGCCCCCCCCCAAAAAAAAACCCCCTCCGCCTAAAAAAATCATCTGCCTCAAAAAAAAAAAAAAAAAATGGTAGCCCCATGGGTCAACCCATGGGTCGACCCACGCCGACCCATGACCCAAGTTGTGGGTCTTGGGTCAGGGCGGGGCGGAAGTTTTTGAAAAAGCAACCCAACCTGACCTGACCCAATTATTTTTGGGGCAGGTCGGGTCGGCATTTAATTGCCCCAACCCAACCCACCCTCACCCCTAGGCCATACCTTAACCTGGAGGCCCAGATTGGAACCTTCAATGTTAGCTGTGGCTGCTGCTGAGATTTTCATTGACAAACCTTTCATGACATCCCAGGTAATTTAAAAGGGCAATTGAGCATTCTCTACTAGTACTCCCCCAGATTCCGGAAACTCCATGGAATTTGAAAATTTATCTGAAATCTGGAACTTGAAGGCAGTCAAACCAATCATCAATGTTAATAGCCCCCTCTAACATCCAATTTAATCGTCATCAGGTTGATTTCAATTCAATCACAATTTTCATGGAAACATTCTGAATGAGACATGTGCAAGAGCCCACCTCTGTAACCCAGGAGCTGTTGTTTGTTGCTTTATACAGCAGTTCACAGAAAGCTTGATTCCTGGGACTCCTGAAAATTGAAGAAAAATGAGTCATCAAAGCATGATGCCTTGCCAACTGGCCAAATCAGTTTCCAATTCTGCTTCCAAGGCCCTGTTGGATCTTCAGACCCCTCCCCCAGCTAAAGCAGGTGGACAATTACAACTCAAAAATAGAGAGGATTTGAATCTTTTAACTTCAAAGATTCCAATTAGTTTTAATCCCCTGATAAATTACTGGAGGACTTCCCATTGGATCTGGGGCCCTTGCAGTAGTTGATCTAGACCCAAAAACTCATAATTCTTGCAGAGAAGTTTGAATTTTGAGGCTCTAAATTGGCTCTGGGAGACCTGCAGATGTTGACAGGAAGTTGTCTCCTGTAGCCATAATGGGATCAATACAGGATAAAAACACTTGATTCAAACAGTACTAAGAATTTTTATTTCAAATTTTAAGCAGACCTTCAATATAAAACACACCACCAACCTCCTGAAATACTCACCTCTGTCCCAACTGTGCAACATGAAAGATCCCAGCTCACTCAAGCTATGTCACTTCAAGATTGATGTCCCAAATTTTTGGAAAGAATTCCACACACATCTAATTGTATTATTGTTGGATGAAGTTTTGTCAGAAGGAATCAAGATACATATATTTCCCCATCCAAAACCAGGCAAGTAAACAATTGATTTGGAAACCAACTTAATGAACCAGATAGGCAATACCTTTCATGCTCATGGCCTTAATATGCAAACTAAGAGGATAGTTTGCAAGAGATTCCATGCCCATTTCAATAAAATCCCTCCAGAGTTTACAAAGGATGAAGCAAAGAACCTAGGTATTTTTTCACTTCTTATATCTTCAAGACCTATGAGCATTGAAATGTTTTTTTTGAAATTCTGTGTGTCTATGAATGCTCTGATGATCACTAGGCAAGCAATAGCTATTTGTGAGTGGAGAGTGAATGAGTGCTACCAAGAGACTTTACTAACTTAACCCAAGTCCCTCAATTGGAGGGCCTGAACCAGGCTGGCACAAGCGCCCCTTGCAAAAAGAGCCTCTGAAGGAGGGACTTGTGGGTAAAGTGGGAATGTTTGCGTGGAAGCTGGAGGCAGTTAGTAGACAAAAAATTTGCCCTGACATTTGCCCCCACTTCCACATGGAAGTTTCATCCACCGTTTGGAATAGTCCAACGGCATGCTTCTTTGGAAGCCTTGTGTCTTGCCCACAGGTCTGGGTGCCCTCTGGATTTGGGACCATCAGCCATTGAAGATGGCCGTTTTTCTTCAAGGTCAAAGAAGGCTGTTGAACTACTTCCTCAGAATTCCCGCATAGTCTAACATACTATGCTTGTGGTTGATTATGCGTGGTCAAAGCCTGTATGAGCCTGTACTTGAGGCATACTGGTAGGTAACCAAGATGTATGAATTTTTGGGGAAAATCCCGAAATCATTCACACAAAAGTGGTATGAATCCGCTCAAAAACGCACAAAAATGGTTCAAAATGTATGAATTTTGGCTCAATCTTGAGGAAAGCCTGCTTAACTGACACATCCCCAAATTTTCGGGGCCAATTTTCTCACTTTCTGGTGGATTTTTCTCTCAGCATGCGCACAAAAATGGTTTGAATGGCTTCCAAAAATGTATGAATCTTTGCAAAATTTGGGATTTTTGGTTACCCACCTATATAGGGGGTTTCCTGGGTCCTCTACCGGTATTGACTGCCTGACAATATGACATGAAGAGATATACAGAATCAACTAGAGGCTTCATTCAACACCTGTAAGCAACATACTATGCCTTTTACCACTTGTTATGGAATAAACTTATTTTAAGCTGGATTTGCATCCCTCACTTTCCATCCAAAGGATGGATAAGTGATCACAACAAATACTACAAAAAAATATGGGCCAATAGTTCATATGCTCACCTATGTGAGAAACTTAGCAGCAGCCTTTTTGGTTGGATGAGCCAGGAGTAATGGGCAGTTTTGAGGAAAATACCAAAGGAGAGCCACAAACTGTGCCAGCTTCCAGGCCAGAATTGTGACTTCACTCATAAGCCCCTCTTTCAGAGGCTTGATTCGAAGGGGATTTGTTAAGCTATGTAGCAGACTTTATGATGCCCAGCTTGTGACATGACTTGGTTGGTTGGTGGAAGCAGTTGGCTGAGTGAGGCTGACTAGTGCAAGCTTCTAGATGTCTTAATTTTCAAATTGATTCGTAATCCACTCCCCGGACAGTTTTTGCGGAGTTCATCACCGCAAATCCTTGCCTCTGAGCTTTGCAGCAAGATTCACCTGGTCGGTTTCCCATCTGGGGTCCGGGTGATACCCCCCCTCCGCCCTAGCTTATCACAATCCCCTCGTTTCAGGGGCCGGGGGACCGGCGCGCCGGGGGCGCCTCGCGAAGCGAGCCTCTGAAAGAGGGGCTTGGGAGGTAGGCTGTCCACCGCGCCTGTGTGGTTCCAGATTTCAGGGCAATTTGATGATAATTCTCACCAAATGCCTCATATCTTTTCCGATTGACTACCTCCGCTCAGGCGGTGTGAAATTATGATAAGCCTAGCATCCTGCCTTCCGGTGGATGCCATTTTTACCCCATTAGACATAGGCTCATACCTCTTTCCCAAAGATGATAGGTCATCTTTGCTCTTTGTGAGGAGAATGACCGAAATCCATATGAAGCTGTACACCGATCTGTATTCAAGCAGGTTGGTAAGTATTGAATAAGTCGTTCAGTTCGTACAGGCCCAAACATCTCCTGTCATATCGGACTGTAATGAACGGCGAAGTTGTTATATAGCATCCTTATTGGAGTCAAGGAGGATGAAACAAACCAACATAAACATCACCGAGCACACACCTCTTTTCACTGGTAAGAACAAGAAAAAGCCGTCAACAATGGTCATCATTTCGTCTTCAGCAATGCTATCAAGACCATCCCCAAAGCGAATATGGACACCTACCGGTATCAATGTCTATAAGAAGGTGTATGATAAGAGTGACGAGAAGCTGATTGATCATATTAAAGAGACATCCTTGAAACGTTACGGTCAGCCAGCAAAAGACGAGCAAGTTGAGGCAGTGTTCAATCTTGTGCAAGGTCGAAACACTTTTCTCTTGGCCGGGACGGGCTTTGGAAAGTCTCGAATTGCTGAGATCTATTACAAGATGATCCCAGTGAAGTCTCGCGCAGTCGTACTTGTTCTAAATCCACTCGACTCACTTGGAGACAATCAAGTTCTGGAAAAACATCAAGCTGGCTTTACTGAAATCAACCTGACGAAGCTGACGTTCAACCCAGAAGTTGCACAAGATATAATGGACGGAGTGTACCAGTTCGTATACTTGAGTCCAGAAATCTTCCTCAACAACAAGCTCTTTGAAAGGTGCTACTTCAGCACGGATTTCCAGAACCGACTGGCGTTGATCGTGGTAGACGAGGCGCATATGATCTATATATGGGGCCTGGTTGAAAGTTCAACATCGAAAACATCAACTTCGGCCCACTTTCGTTTTGAGGACTACGGCATCTTCCGGCCTTCTTATGGGAAACTTGGGGCCCAGCTCTTGTTCCGAAATGACAAGCCTATCTTGTTGCTCTCGGCCACATGCCGACCAGTTGCCGTGGATGCGATCAAGAGGAGCTTGAAATTGAACGACGACAGTGTTGACATTATTCGAGCGGAGTTAACCAGGCCTGAAATCCGAATCATCCGGGTGACGATGGAAAAATCACTTGCGTCTTCACTAGACGTGATAAAGCTGTTCCCTTCGCATCAACACGTGGCCGATGCGGATATGGTTCCTGCTTTGATTTACAGTGGCTCTCGTAACCGGACTTTGACTGTGATGGATGTCATTGGCATGGCGCGCGAGACACCTGGGGCAGCCTCCATTCCAAACGGTGGCTGCGTGCGGCGTTTCCATTCGTGTACCGGCGATGACGATAAGGTATCTTGTGCTGAAGACTTTGCGGCTGGGAATTTCCCACTCATCTCATGCACCATGGCGCTTGGCCTCGGTCAGAACTGGAAGCGCGTGCGTATGGTAGCACACATGGGAAGAGGCGATCCCGCGAATGTGTGTCAGATGATCGGTCGGTGTGGTAGGGACGGGAAGGCAGGGTTGGCTGTGATGTTTGTGGAGAAGACCCGTCGAGGAGGGAAGAACACGGTTGACAAGTTCTCACAAGGCCATCCCCAAACGGATCTAGACCGAATGGATGCCATGGCTATCACTCCCCTTTGTTTGCGAGTGGCCTTTTCAGTAGACAATCTGTGAGTTTTATGTGGCAGGACTGATTAGATGTCGGTTCACTAATCAAGTCATGCAATCTACCCTCATCTTTTGGACAGGTTTGGATATGTACCGCTTATGGCTGATGATGAGGCCTACCTCAATGAACGGGCCCGTGAAGAGTCGATGGGGATGCCGAAGTGTAACTGTTCCAACTGTGCCCCTGAAGCCGGTAGGTTGGTAATGGAAGGACTGGTCTTTGCCAATAAGAGCAACTTTGATGATATAATAAATGATGCGTTTGTTCCACCGATATCATACGGCTTGAAGCACAAATACCCCAAAAAGCCTTCGATGGTCAAGAAGCACAAATTCACAGAAGATGACGAAGAAGAGATCGATTGCTTTGCGGCTCGTCTCTTGAGTGATCTTTATCTCTTCTACGATACAGAGGTCTCACCAGGTGGAACTATACTGGCATCGGACTTGTTTGGAAAGGACGAGTGCGTTTCGGTCTTGGCTAGCTTAGAGAACATTTCTCAGGTTCAAGATCTTCGTTCGGTCGTTGGGGGGGAATGTTTTGTAGGGGAGGCTCAGTGGTTGTTCAACTGGATCACCGAATTCAAGTTGAAGCCGCAAACGATGAACACACCCGCTGGGACTTTGATCAAAGCGATCAAGAAGCCTAGGAATACAGGCAAGGCATCAGCCCAGGCTGTTTCTACCATCCCGGATGGTGTGCGACAGGCGCCTGCCCCTAGGCCACCTACTAAGAGGGCGCTTGCTCAAGCAGAAAGCAGACGGAAATCACTAGAGCGACAGGCTGCAAAGAAGAGGGAAGACGAGATCAAGGAGATCCGAAGAAATCAAATTGCGATGATCATGTCACAAACGTTGGCCGATCATTCAACTAATCACTAGTCAGAACAACTACTTATTTGATTGCAACTATTCTGATCTATTTACGGCTCATAACATATTCTAATGACAAGATTCACTGGATTACATATCAGAAGACTGTGGTTCATCATCATCTGAGCTACAACTGTTATCACCTCGTTCATTTGTAGTCCCTGTCTGAGTTGTTAGATTCTTCTTAAACTTTTTCAAGTCAATGTCTGAGGTGCAAATAGTGGTCCGCATCTTCTTGATTCCCATGATATAAGTGTTGAGCACTTTTGTGATACGTTTCTTTGCCGCATTGGAGTATTGAGCCAATATGTCGCGGTTATTGCCCATGATGGAAAACATGACCAGTGAACGGAATGGTAGGTCATTGCGATGAGTTTGATGGACCGGTCTTGCCCCACAGTCGTGCTTGAGCGATTGAAACATGCGTTGTAACTGATGTCGAGGTTAGTGGACACATAAGAAAGATCAGTCTACATAAGAAAGAGCACTCCATGTGCCTAACACAGTTATTCAGTTAACTGACCAGGAAGATGTTTGGGGAGAATACATCTCGCAAGCGATCAATCTGCGTCCCAGTGCCACTATGATTATATAAAAACTTGATCCAATAGTTTTGGATCTCCAGCCAGAAGTCCTTGGCCACAAAATGCCCGGGTCGGCCGCTGGGGGAGATGAGGAGGTTGTGGCGCAAGTACTTGCTCAGGGAATCGGGGAGAAACACAGTGAGTAATAGGACCATCCGTGGGAGATAAGATGAATAGTTGGTCAGCCCGGTTAAGGCCTGGGCCATAAGGGACCACTTCTTCCAAATTAGAATGAGTCGGCCAACATCCCCAGCCTTCATTGATCGCTTGGCTTCAACCACAGTCGAAAAATCATGCAACTGAATTAGATTATTACTTAATTTGGGACAGTCCATTGCAGCTGCCGTTGATCGTGATAGAGGACTACAGAAGCGATCATAACATTCGTTGATAATTGAGTTCCATCGATCAGTTGGGATCGTCATTCTCTCTTCAGACGGTTTCTTGCAGTTTTCTTGCATGATGACCCTATGCGATTGCAAACAAATGAGCAACCAATGGTGGATGATGGTGGACTTGTAGTAAAAAGAACACACCTTAAACAATAATAGATATTAGCTTCAAACACACGCTCGATCTGGTTGATCATCAAAGTGAAGTCTTTCTTTTGAATTGCTTTCTCCGATGGGAAACCCAAGGCCTCAAGATGCTGCCAGGCCCCACAATTGGTTGAATCGCTGGCATCACCAAAATGATGAGAGAAAATAGTTGAACCGACATTCCAGAGGGTATGAGATGCCCCCAGCTGGAAGAATATGTTATCCAGGGCATTGTGGGGCCCCTTGCTGGGCCCTCGCTGTGATCGAAGACAATTGAAATTCTGAACAGTTGCAAGGTCACCATCCATCGGCTGGAGCCGAGTGAAGAACTCTTCCACGTCAAGTCCGGATTGGTTGATGAGTGACTGGAAGACTTGACCGACCCCTTCGGCCGAGTTGTCAGAAGCCTCCATGAGCTTCATCATGAGGAGATTCGGCGCTTCATGACTGATTTGCTCAATCACAGGCGGGTCAGTAGACATGGCTGAAGCCTTGTCAGCAGGCAAGGCAATGTACTTCTGTAGAACCCATGCTATTTGACTTTTCCAGACCTTAACCTCGTGCTGCTCCTCATTGGGTGTCGGCAGGAACATGTGAGGCTCAATTACAATTGAATCGACTTTGTTCAAGGCAGATTTAAAAGTCGTCAGGTCGAGTTCAGAGGCGTCTAGATTCTCTAACAGCTTTCGATCGGGGAGATGAATATATCCCCAGGTCCCTCGGAAAGTCTTGGTTTGATTGCCGATGGCTTGTTGATGGATGCGCTGCTCAATGTCTATGTTGTCGATACACATAGTAGGGGCAATGATTCCATTTTGGATGGTCATTGCACGTCTGAAGTCCGTAGCGCTCTCCCTGGCCAAAGACTTTAAAGCTGAAATTGCAGTCTTGCGCGAAGACAAAAGCCCAAGGTAGTTGAGATACTCATGGACCCGATCTGAGACTCCGCAGGCATAAAAACGGACGGCATTGTTGAGCTGAAAAGCATTGTGCCGTCGGTTTTGACCAAATGCGACCATGGCACAAATGGTCACAGCGATCTAGAATTTGGGTGGTCCATCAGCCTTCAGAGCCCCATTCAAGCAAATGAGAATGCATCCATTCGACATACCCTGCGTGATCGGTGATTAAAGCGGGCCTCCGCACTTCGCTGCAACTCGTACGAGACCCCAATAATGTCATCAAGCTGGACATTCACATCACTTCCTCCATGATCATTGCCAACGACAGGTTCTTCTTCTTCTTCGTCAGGATTTATCTGTCCCCGGCGGTTTAGCATCTGCAAAACCAGCTCATATAGAAAAGGCATATCTCGCTCGGTCAGATCCCTCTCATGTAATGCCATTTCATCTGCCGTGAAAAACCCCTTGCCAACCGCGGTTGAACTATGGAAGCAACCCATCGGGTAATTCCCTCTCGGTGGAGCCTGTGTAAGGCCGATCCGCACGGCCTGTCCCAGTACAGAATTGGAATCCAAGAAAGGCAGGATGGAAAATGTATCAACAAAACCATTTGATAACCTTGCTAATTCATGCAAGTGTTACAATTCACAATAGCAATAAACATTACCTCTTCTTGAATGAATGAGTCCCATGCCTCGCGGCCCGTGCTCGATTTCGCAAGCTCTTGGTGGATTGATCTAACCAGATCCATGGTCGTCTCAATCCCTTTTGGTTGCCGCCAGAAGCGCCGCAGGTAGGCTATATCGGAATTTGGGGATTGGATAAAGTGGAGCATGAACTCCTTTGGAGTCATGACCGTAGGCAGGGAGCGCATGGTCTTGCAAAGATTGATAACCTTTTGTTCAACTGATAGTCTATCCATATTTAGGCTGTAGGTAGGTAGCTCAAAGCGATGTCGCGGTTTTGATGGGTTATCTTGGTTATAAAGGATTGAGGTCAAGCTTACCCAGGGCGACTACCGTCAGGGCCGCACTCCTTATACTCACTCGATTAGGGAAGCTTCAGCCTGGCTTCACCACAGTGGCATTCACCCACAGGCAAGCTGGTCATTCCCCACTGCAAGGGATATTTCTGACCGATGTTACGCGGGTTGTTAGAGGTGATGTTTCAGTTATAGAGAGTGTGTTGTACAGGCGTGGGAATAGGCTGATGCATCACTACAGTTATAGTGGGAAAGCCATCTTGAAATACACACGCAGGGCACTTCACAAAAATCAGTGCATCCCAGGGATGTCATTGCACCTGGGATGTCCCTGGGACAGGATGCCGTCCCCAGGACATCACACTTCACAAAAATTGGCACGGCCCAGGGATGCCATTATACCTGAGACGTCCCTGGGCCGGGATGGCGTCCACAGGACATCACTGTAAACACCTGGCATCTCTATCACGTCCCACTTAAAAAATTTAGCACAGCCCAGGTATGCAATTGTCCCTGAGCCATCCCCGCATCAAGCATGCTGTCCCCAGGTCATCACTGCCCCCCCCTTGCATCTGTACCACGTCCCACAGCAACTCAACCATCACCTAGCCATTCCCACTCAAAGCCCATGGCATCTGAGTCTCTCTGTGACATTACCATGCTGTCCGGAAGCCCAACCAGCTTCAACACTTGGCAGGGGAACAACAGTCATCCTCATGCATGAAAGAACCCCAAAACTAGAACAATTGTGCAAAATAACATTCATTTGAAAATCATCAACCAGAAATTTCCAATCAAGAAAGAAGAATTTGCAAGGATAAACACATCTGAACAATTTGAAGGATTTTCAGACCTACTCTGGTTTATCAACTTGGAATTCGTTCAAAGTTTTGGACATTCAGAAGAATATTATTTGAAGGGGCACTTTTTCTTCAGGATTGGCTTATCAAAATCCTTGGAGAATATCCTGACTCACAATTAACTTCTGAACAAACAGCAGATGAAACTAGTAAGAAAATCCAAACCTTCTTGCAAAGGTTTTACAGCATGTTTAAATGTATGCCACATATGTCACCAGGCTTGAGAAAGAATCTTTATCAGTTGGGAGATAGAGATGATAGAAAGCATTTTTTAGGAGTACTGTATAAAGACCCAGTGGATATTGTTAAAATTGTGTTAAATTCTATGTTCATTTTTTGAGCCACCAGAAAAATGAAAAAGATCTTGGACATGAAAGAAATTTCATCTTTCACTTGGTTAAGATTCAGGTTCCAGATTTCTTCAAAGGTAGCCTTGGTATGGAGTCAAGTAGTAAACTGAATGAGATCACTAAACTCAATGTACTTCCAAGAAGTTAAAGTATTTGAAAAGAATTCCATAGGATTTCACACAATTATATTCAAGCTATTTCACCAGCTAATGAACTCCAAAATTCTCTTAAAATTAATCCCCAATCAAGTTTCTTGATGAACAATGAACCAGAAAAAATGTGGGATCTGATGGTCAAGATATCATCCAACCCAAAAATGCTGGATTCAAGTATAACACTTGGATGGGGCGTTGATAAACGCACGCCTCCCCCTTCCCCGCACGCCCACGCCCCCGCCCCTCCAAAAGGGGCGTGCAATTGAACCCGCCCTCCCTGAGGGGCGGGTTTGATTGCACGCCCCTTTTGGAGGAGCGTGGGCGTGGGCGTGCGGAGAGAGAGGAGGCGTGCGTTTATCAACGCCCCACTTGGATGAATGCAAAAAATTGGAGAATCTTGATGGAAATTTACAATCAGAAAGAATGCTTCAAAATGTGAAAAATTTGTTTCAGGGAATCTAGGGATGAATGCAAGATTAGAATATAGGTCTTTTCATTTGCTTCAAGTAGACATTCATGTGATGTACAGAATCCTTAACATCATTAGCCATTGAGAAACAGTTTGATTTTGAAAGAGCAAAGAAAAATGTCTGAGCAAGAGAATTCAAACAAGGATATTCATTGGTCAGACAACAAGATTGTTTTATCATCAATGAAATCCCCAGTCTGGCCACTCGGGATGTCTGAATGATCCTTATTGCTGTCGGTCAGGCTTCAAGGAGCAGGCAATCTTCCCTCAAGATGGTGCAGTGTTTCACTGCCTTTTTTTCTCTGTGGTTTGCTCTAACCGCGGTTAACTGGGGTTCTTTCGACCCCAATTTTTTCTTTTCCTTTTTTCAAGTTGGCCTTGGGCAAGAAGGCCGAGGTGAATGGGGGATCAGCACGGCTGAACCCCATTGGTAACGACTGTCGCACAGTCAATTGTACATAATTATAAGCAATGGTCAATCTTGGCACACAGTTGAAGGACTTGAAGGACTTCAACTGTGTTCCCACTTTGACCGACTTGTCCTCTGCTCTTTTGCAAAAACACGATTTCCATCTTCCCACACTGAAACATATCGCTTCAGTCTCAAATCACCCCTTCAGATCGGTTCGTTCATTTTTCCAGTTTAAATCCCCCCCATCTCCGATCAACATTTCATCAATCCAGGCTCAATCCCACAATATTCAATTGAAATCGTTCATGTTCTATCACGCTGAGTCACCACCACCATCCCTTCCACAACCAAAAAAGGCACATGCCAAAACCAAAAAAGTCACATGTGCATTCAAGTCTGAGCCCAATTGCTGACTCTCCACATCAATACCCTTTTTAACACCGGACGGGGTATTGTTGGTGGATCTATCGACGTCAAGCAAGGACGCAGAGAGTTACAACCCGACGGGTTGGATCCAGGGGCACGAAGGAATGGTCAATCAAGCCGTGCCGACCAAACGACACCGCTGGGACCAATGGGCACCCATCTCGACATCAGATCAATTACCCCGACGACCAGGTCTGTGTTGCTGGTGAGGCCTTCTTTGTCACTGGTGGAGAACCCATCTTCTTCTGGGACTTTGCAAGGGCCGTCTGGCACAAATATGCCGCCCATTCCCCACTGGCTAAGGCATTCAAACTCGACCCTAAACTGCGCTTCACTATTGTCATCCCTACCTTCCTCGCCCTCTTCTTGGCTTCCCTCGCTCAAATCTTTGCTAAAATTACAAACTCTACTACCCTCTTCACTCCGGAAAAAGTCCGGTATACTTCTGATTATAAGTATCAATTCATAATATCAAAAACGCTAGAGTCGACCTTGGCTATGAGCCGGTAATTCGGATCCATGAAGGCATCCACAGAGCTGTTCAGGTTCATGCTTCTTTCCTGTTCCTCTTGCCTTACATTTTCTTTTCTATGTCATTTACTGACTTTGTTCTACTTCTTTTTTTGGCAGTGGTACATATCTAATGAATCTCTTACTCAAAGCTCTCAAAACTCGGATAAGAAACATGATTAATCAGAAAAAAAAAACTATAAACACATTGAAGTCTTAGCTAATAACCACCTAAGATTCTTGAATTATTAGCTTCCTCCCAAAGAATATCCGGGACCTCATGCTGAACGGCCACGGACGATCGCAATCCAAAGTATCTCTGAGGGTATGCTCCTCATCGCTATGATCACTATCCCTCCATCCGATTAGAGTAGATGGGCTGATGATGGTTTGATCTAGATATCGAGGAAGCTGGTGTTCGCCTGAGACTTAAAGTAGTCGACAATCCTGGCTATGGCAATTTTGTTAACAACACCGACTCATGGAGACCTATCCTGGAGAATATTGAGGCTCGATTTGATGGCTACCTCAAACAAGAAAATCATGTCAACCGTGCCAAGATAGTCGACAACCGAATCCATGCCTGCATCTACTTCATCGAGCCCACTGGTCATTCATTTGAGTCATGTCCACTTGTCTGGCCATGTTTGTTTCTCTTTTATGCAGATTTGCACAGGTGCATTTCTCTTTCAGAATTTTTAGTTTTTTAGCTTTGTTGTAAACAAACGATTGTATGTTTCTGTGGGTTATTGACAATAAATACCATTTCACATTTTGATTCACTGAAAATTGGTGTGGGATTATTGTGCAGTGAGTTTCCTCAAGCTTTCTGGGTTGTGGGTGTGTGTGCTGCTCAATGACATTCTGCTGTTGCAAGAAAAATGCCAAAATGCTGTCTGGGTGACAGCTCAGAGACGGCAGGTTCAGTGATCTTCTGGATACAAAATTTTGGAGGAGACGGCCCTGAAATACCTCCTAGCCATCCGTAGGATGCTGTGGAGGGACGTCATGTGGATGCTCCACAAGGATGTCCCATGGATGGCCTTTTATTTGTGGAGGAGCACGAACCTGGGATGCTCTGATCTGTGGGGGCTGCTGTCCTGGTGCCATCCCCCCGGACCCTGCCACTGGGACGTCCAACTGCACTGGTGGTGTACATGAAGTATGTGTTATCAAATCAAGTAAGTCGAAACAAAAAAATCAAAAAACCAGCTTCTTGGAACCGTCATAGCATCAGTCGTGTTGCAGGTGGGGGGGGGCAGGTTTCACCATCTGCAGGGCCAGAAAAAGGCGGTCTTAATGGCCTAAAGGGCGGTGCATATTGTTGACTGGAAGGGTGCAGGAAAAGGGCGGCAAGTTTTCACCACCTAAAATCGCGAACCACTCGCAAGAAGTCGCAGACTTGCCTCCCAAGCCCCTCCTTCGGAGGCTCGCTTCGCGAGGGGCGCTTTGCGCCAGCCAGCCAATCTGGCCCGACGAAGTTGGGGATTGTGTTAAGCTAGCCCTCCGCCGAGCCCCCGGGTGCTACCCCCAAGACTATGTACTGACCGAATCCGATTGAAGCAACCCGAGCAACGGCCGATCTTGTCTTGTGCTCTTCGGGATGAGTCGGTCATCACGATCGGCGGGTCGTCGGCCACACGGGCAAAAAGGACGTGCGGCGAAGAGCGCAAGGATTGATTGGACGAGTCCGATGGCTGTACAACAATGTGTCTCGAAGTTGGTAACCACCGGGGCTTGACACGGTTCCTAAATTCGTCTGGTCTACGGACAATCCATCGACAGGGCTTACACAAATGATGCTTGAAATGCTTATAGATGACCTTGCAGCGATTAAATCGTCCCTGAAAGTGCCACCGGGCGTCGAGTCAAGTCAACAAGAAGAAGCGTTCCTCTTTGTACGGTCAATCGAGTTGCTCGTCTCTTGCAATTAATATGACAACTAGGGGCGCAGAAACAGATTCTCAAGAAGAATCTCAGTCGCACTTCCTGATAGTACATGAGCCCGTCTGAGGGCGAACCCACCATATAAGCCACAACCCAATGACCAGCTGCTCAAACGCTCATCCCCTCAGCATCTTGTCAGATTCCTCTCTCAGCATTCTTCCGGCTTCTTTTTTCAAACTACAGGGAAGGTTCTTGCACATTTGTCAGATCAACCGCCAAGCGCGCTTATAAATAGCTTGACAAGATGAAATCGTTCTTCAGAATCGCGACGGCTCTAATCTTTTTCCACTCCTACTCTTCCATTAATGCAACCCCATCGGGATCTCTCAAGCCGGCGGCAGTAGGAAAGACCGGCCCTTCGAAGATCTTTCCATTCAAGGAATACAAGGATTTCCAGGTATGTAAACCAGCCGATACCTCCCTCGACCCGTCGAAGTCCCCCGCTAATATACACCATTGCACACTTTTTTTTTAGATATCCGATGGGATAGCCGGAAAATCCTTGGACAAAGCCCGCAAAATATTTGTCGAGCCATTCCAGGGAGTCGACATGAGCCAACTGACGCAGAACGACTTGAACAATCTGATCACGATGGCCCGAGCGGCCACGGACAATGAGAAGTTTTTCAACGAGGCCATGGAAGTCAGTCCAGCACCGCTGCCCACGCTCCCAGCCAAGTTGTTGGATTGGTCGTCGGTCCACACTGTCGTAGTTTTTACTGACCCCCTTTTTTCCCTTCTTCTTCTTCTTCTTTGGAGTACAGAAAGCTGGGGCGACTAAAAGACACCCGAATGTCCCATTGTCTGCGGGCAAGACGGCGAACAAAATCCTCAAATTAGTCGGTGAGTCGCCACCTTCGCTTGCCTTCATATCATAAATCTTGAGCTTTCGACCACTCACAGAATTCTTGACCGAGTGCAGGCTCGATGCAGGTTATTGAGGTGAGCAATGAGGTTGCTTGCTAGACGACCATCCCGCTCGGAAATTAATGTTTGCGTCTGTCTGTCTTGAATCGATCCTGCGTGTGTGTGTGTGTGATCGCAGTTGCACAAACGCCTGAACCTCCACCCAGGGAACCCAGACGGCAGACTGAAGGAGTTGCAGACAAAGTGAGCAGACAGACCGCGACCGGTATTAATGGTCCTCTTGTATTGTATTTCCGCTGAGCTGAATACGGATCCTGTGCGCCGAAACCCCCCAGGCTCACTAATAACCTCAAGTTGGATCATCACTACGCCGGCAAAAAGATGGTTTCGTATCTCTCTGTTGGACAGAGTGGAGGAGCAAAACAAGCCAAGCCGATCAAGGGCCAAGCCAGTCAGGGCGGAAAATGAGCCCGGGTCCCATGCAGCAATTAGGCCGGAGACGTGTGGACAGCATTCGCAAGCAGATATCCTCATCATCAACTCCTATATGGCCCACTTCCACCACTTTCAATCCGAGCTCCGACGTTTCCACTCTTGAAAACCTAAACACAACTTTGGGTAGCCTCTGTTGTTCTGGCCAACAAACCACATGATCTATGTATTCTCTCAGTTTCGCATTAATGGTTCGAGCAGTCGACCCTTGACCACTCCAAGCACGTTGTAAAAATCTATCTCGTTCTGAGCATCCCGTCTCCCTCCAGCCTATCCTGATCCCGGTCCTTTTCCCTCCACAACCCAGATGTGTATGATGCTTCGTTCTCTGTGTGTGCATTTGTATCGCGCGTCTCAAACAACGTGACTTACCGCCCAGACACCCCAAAGACATTGTGGGACAAAAACCCACCAAGGTGTAATTATAGTCCCATTGGTATAACTTGTAAATAGATTACTACAAGCCTGTCAGCCATCACCAAGGTCCAAACAATTTGTAACCCGCAAAATCTTCTACACAGGAAAGTGTCTCAAGATGAGTCCTGGTCTCCATGGTGCGCATGAGATCATGCACCGGATATGGCCTGGTCAAGCTGAGTGAGGAAGGATTCACACTGTGGCTTCAAAAAAAAAATTTTTTTGGCTCCTGAGTAGCGTACATATTGTGTTTTGAAGAAAGCTTGGACGGATTTGCAGGATCTGCAATCAAAAATCTTGGATTTTCATCATTTAGGTTTGGATTTTTATTTTATTTTTTCCCTCTTAAAGCCATGATGACGTCATAGGCTACCACAGCGGCCTCCATCACTATTGATTCACAATCCGGGTGAGCTGCCTCCAAACCACCTCCAAACCACTAAAAACGATTGACCAATCATAGCGTTGGTGGTTCAACAATTTTCTCGATGGCGCAGCTTGGATACAACCCTCTTGGAAGGAGTAAAGACATCATCTGGTTATCACATTGCTAACGAATCCAGAGGATACATGAAAATTAAATCATACCACTGTTTTCGAAGATCCCAGTCAGTATTTTACAAACTTGACACTCCTCAGGACGGGTGTTGTTTCTTATCCATTTTGTCTTGTTCCCTCTGCATACACTTATACTGGCACAGGTCTTCCATCTCCACTTATTCAGTCAATCGCTTTTGGTCTTGGTGTATTTCCTATCATGTGTCTTGCCGAGGCCCATAACATAGATCTTAACCTGTTTCCTATCATCCTTGTTATCCTAGTTGTGTACGGCATTGTTGATCTTAAGATTAGCAGAAATCGAATCAAATATTCAATATTGACTTGGTGAGATGTGTACAATCGATCTCAGAGTTGTCTGAAATGAAATGTGAGCCATGTTAAGAGAGATCAATCTTAAGACTTGAGTTAGAATGAGTTGTTTGAGTAACCCCATCCGAGTTGATGCACATCTATTGATCAGAAGTTGAGGCTTTGTTCACTAGGATCTTTGGGTAAACTAAAATGTTCAAATAAGTTTACTGACACGGTCCTCATCTCCTTCGAATGACTGTCATCTTTGGCTACAGCTTCAGCAGCAACCATCATTAGACTTGCGACGATTCACTTGAATTTGATTCAAAATCATTTCATTACTAGGTTTCATAGAGATGAATACATAGGCTACTTTCCTAGTTACAATTGTATCTTAAACTTCATTCAAGGATAAGATGAGTAACAACACCCAAATCAGAAAAAAAAAATGCAGAAGAACAGACATTTTGAGTAAAAGATCAAGACCGATTGTTTCCTCTTGTTCATTCGATATGCTTGTGATGAATACTGAGGGGATATGTATGCGATCCAAATAAATCTATGCAGGCACCTGAGTAAGCAACCAAAAAGCGATACGCGATGTGAATGGCATTGTGGACAAACCGGTAGTCAGGTAATGAGGACAAAAACCAAAAGTAGATGAAGATGATCAGCAGTGCTCACAATGCCTGTAGGTGTTCGAGTTAAGAACGACCGTTATGACATCCGTGGTTGTTTGTCTGATTGTCAGGTCTGGGTGATCAGTCTGATTGGAGACTTGAAAGGCCTGTACTTGCTGTTACCGACCATGAGGACACATTTAGCTCTTTTCTTATGACACAACGACCGCTGATAGATAAAAAAAACTAACTTCTGGATGGCCAGAGACTCGAGTCCTTCAAGTACCATAAAGATTGCTCGAGCCTTGGTAGATGCCTCGTGCGATTGAAAAATCGTCTATCGTTGTTTTGTCTGGGATCGATGCCTGGATAATTGGGGGGGGGGGGGACAGTATTGGTGGTGGTGGTGGTCGGCGAGCTGGTGTCTGCTTGATTACAGCGAGGTGAATCAAACCAGAGCTGTGTGGCAAAAACAAGCAGCTTAAACTGCTGCACAGAAGCCCAACTCCATAACTTTAGCGCTTGGAAAACTTTCGTTTGTCCAAGCTTTATTCAAAAGACAATACTTCCAAGTCCTTTTCACGGCTTGGAACTCTCATTCTCGTACTAGTACAATCTTCGAACGAATGCGCACTACGGTTTTGTCTTTCAATCAACCACCAATCGGTGGCTCGTTCGTGTCCATGTGAGACTGATCCACAACCTATTCACCTACCTATTTTTCCATCGATCCCCCCAGAAACACATTCAGTTTGATTATGGAAAAAAGCCCTGTTCTGATTTGTTGTTCCCGAGTTACTTATGAATCCACAATTTTTTTTTGTTTTGACTGTATAAAAAGATGAGCCAATGAGTTAAAGAAGGGTACCCGAAAGCAGATTGGAGAGAGGCATTAATACGACCCAGCTGAATAAAGGGAAGAAAAAAAAAACAAGAATGCCGAAAGAGCGTCGATTATAGTTTCGAATGCAAGCTACACAGAAGATGGTTGGAATACCTGGGTTGGGTAAACGAGAGCAGATGGAGAAGTTGGAAGAGGACCCTGTGAAGAATAAAGGATCTGGGATTCGAGACCGGGCGGGGTTTTTTCCCCTCCTGGAGTCTTGAGAAAGCAGCACCCTGGCGCTTGGATCGACGAACCGCCGCTCAGAGATCATCGGACCATCCATTTGAGCCTGCTCTTTCCACACTCACAAAGGCCAAAAGAGCAGGCTCCCGCGTTGTCACGTGTTCTGACCACGCTGCTGCCCGTCCTCCTCATCATCCCCCTCCCATCCGGCAGCTCACACACACACACACACAAGAGATTCAAGCGGTTCCACTTCATCAAACTACGGTCAATATTAGGCATGGCTCCTACATACAATCAAATCATCAATCATTATTTTTTTTTGGGGGGGGGAGGCATTCTTTCGTTAATTTAATACCCATGAGACCCAAGCAGGATCATATGTTTGCTCAATTGCTTGCAGGACCGGCCAAACCATGCGTTGAATGCGACTTCAGTCAGAGATATAGTATGTGTGATATATGGATGTAGCATTAGAGCGGGCCAGGATGGGGAGAGCAGACAGAGGATTGTGATGATGATGATGCTGCTGATGCTGATAAATGACTGGATGGATCGATATCGCTGGGCTTGGCCATCCACGAGTAAAGGCCAGATAGATTATTTTGTTCGTGTGAGCAGCAGTCGAGTCCGACGAGTACACATATGGTGTTGCAAGCCCGTCTGGGCACACACCAAAATTCGGCCAAAAAAAGGCCAAGCGCGCTGGGCCGATCTTAAAGCGTGCTTGGCCAATCGTAAAGCCCTCGTGGCACCCTCCCAACCCCTGCTTGGCACATCTCAAAGTTGGTGGGGGTTGGAGCAAAGCCTTGCTTGGCCGAAATCAAGCGAGGGTGCCACGCCCCCAAAAACTCGATGCACCAAGATCAAGTCAGTCAGCTATGAGGAAGGAGGGCTGATTGGCAAGATCGCATCCTCCAACTCGGCCCATCTCTAGCCTGAACGGCAGCCGGGTCAATTTTAAAACCGGCATCAATCAGAAACTTGAGATGGTGTTGGATGGACGCACCGACACTCATAATATCGTTTTACTCACATGATCGTTTTTGTTGGTCTCCTTGCCGAGCAGGTCGGACTCGAAGCATAGCTTGATTAAGGATGTACTTTGAGGAGAACATCAGAATCTTCAACCCCAAAAAGCGGATTTTGCTCATTGATTGGGACTGGTACACAGGAGCCTTGCATTTCAACCACTCATGTTTTTCCTTTGATTGGAAGCCAGCCTCTGTGAAGCTGGTGGTGGTGGTGGTGTGTTGTCCAAGCTGGGTCTTGGTTGACGAGTCGATGATCCTATGTGCCCAGGGCTTGAAATCGGCCCAGTGGGGCTTGGCTATGTGCCAAGTCCCGCCCCCCTCAGAATTGAGATGATCAAGCCCTCTGGGCACAAACCAAACCCCTGGTGGCGCTCGGCCAAGCGGGGCTTTGGTTTGTGCCCAGACGCGCTTGCAAGACCATATACACAATGAGGGGAACCGCGGCGATGAGGATGATGATTCCACTTCCAGAAGCATACATTGTAATCGACGAGCCGCATGTTTCTTCCAGATGTTTGCACTCTCATTACATAACATGTAAGGCCGTCGAGTCCGGCGCGGCCAAATCTGGGCTCCCCAAATCGAGCCGAGTCGAAAATGTCCGACGGGGGGTTGGCGGACATTATATGAGGAATGTGTAGTGTACACAGTATGATGGACGGAGTCTTCCTTGTGGTCTTCTCCAATCTTACCGATCATGCCTCTCGACACTCTTATGCACTGCGTCCGTACACCCCGGAATCACTGGAGTCTAGTGATATGTGATCACGAGACAGTCGGCTAATTTTGAGGGCCATCCTGATCCATCGATATTTTGCATCCGTCGTCCGCTCGTCCCGGAACACGGAAAGTGGATCAGGTTGGTGACGGGGGCTACTTTTGACTCCCCCATCTTGCATCTTCATTATGTATCTGATCCTTGAAGAGAGAGTGTCTTCCCAAGCGAGCTGGTCATATGTAACACGAGCTCCGATGCCGGTCCATTTGTATAAGCAGATGATGGTCGTGGAGCACAAGCTCTCTGGGCTCATTAAGCCAACTGGATGCTTCCTCCATCTCGTGTATATCCAATCTACATAGCCGATTTGCCTCTCTATATTTATGTTGTAGTGGCGCAGACTGTGTGAGGATGATGGCAAAGACATCCAAATGATGTGGAAATCCACAGGGGATGATTGCATGTAATGATGATGATGATGAAAAAGAGCTGAAGGTGTGCAAATTGCGGCACATCAGAGCTATCGATGGTTGGCCGTTCTCTCAGATAGGAGGGCATGAAAGTCCATCCATCCCAGCCCGGCAGGTATGCACACATGCATGATTTCGTACTGAGAGCTCACGACTGTGAGTCTTTGAGAAGAAGGCCAAACGCCGATGGCCCGTTGATAAACATTCACGCTTTTTAAAAAAGGACCACCACACCACCGGCCAGTCCATAGGACGAGCGCAAGAGCTGCTGAGGAAGACTGGATTAGCAGAGCTTGTTCATAGAAGGAGTAGAGTGTTGTGGATGGGAAGCATGTGAGTTTTTTTGGGCAGACTTGCGTGTACATAGTCTGATGGATGGTCCGGCGGAGGCTGACTGTGACCTACAAAGAGCCGAGGAGAGCGCTGTTTGTCTGATCTTTTGTATGTATCATAATCCTTGCTCGCTCTGCTTTCCATCTGGACAACCGGCGCTAATGCTATGGTGTTCGGTGATTTGTTGGAAGCCGACGAAATTGTATGCGGATCCCTTCCCTTTCAGCAAGTCGATCCTGGCTTACAGCCGGATGGCTTTCGGCTTCCCCTCTTCCGATCCCGATTGAGCCCGACCGGCTGGGCTATGTAGTTCGATGGGGGAATGAATATGCCGGGTCGACTGTCGACTGTCGAGAGCCGGAGTCTGAAACTGCGAACAGCCGACCACTTCAGACTTCAGGTGGTCATGTCGCCAGTCGCTGTGTCAATGGCGTCTTCCCGTCCACACAACACCTCACTCGACGCCTTCCTCACAGACCACCACAGCCTTTATCGATCAGGGTCTGCTGGCTGTGCTAGGTGTTGGCTGAGTGGGAAGGATGACTGCTCTCTCGACTTGCCAACCCGGTGCGCCTTATACATACCATGAAGTCCTGGACAAGTGGATTGCATGTTGTACGGCTTCCTCCGTAAATGGCAACTAAAACATACTCCTGTCTGTTGGTTTCGCCATCGCCCTGCAGCAAACTTCAGCTGGACGGTCGACCTTAATATTTCTTCTTGGGAAAGCGGGGTGCACACTTTTTTGGTCCTGGTCATCCAGAACCCATCGGCTCCCTAATCCGTCACACGAAGCCTGCAGTCGGCATCCCGAATGAAGATGTGGATGTGTACTGCAACCATTCCTTGCTGAGTCTCCAGGCAGCCAGCTCTCATCTCCGCGCATTTGATTATGTACATCCCTACATCTTCATGCTGCTCCTGCCATCTGTTTCACTCGGCTATTATACACTCACTTCAAGAAGAAGCGTGTGGATGTGGATGGGATTCCGGGAATGTGCAGGCCTGGCTCAGCTCGATCGCTTATTATCAAAAAAAAAAAAAAACATTAAACTCAACTCAATCAATCCCATTTCCCATCCCTCCGCCGAGTCGACAGTTCTTCGCTTTTTTTGTCGTTTGTATCCCCTTTTAAACATTCTGATTGTACAACATAGCAACCACTACTATTAACACACTATCGTCTCCAGTTCGCATCTCCAGCAGCGTCTCAAGCTGATTCTATCCGAAACCCCCTCCACACCATCACTATCATCCTCCCTCCTCCACACTTCTTGATATATTCAATCACCGCTAATTAATTAATCAACCCTCGTCCTTGGAGTTGTCCCCTTCTTACCCCCCTCTCTTCCGACGTCACTCGGTCTCTCTCCCTCTATCCTCTATTTATTTATATCTATCATCTCTAAAAAGAAGGACATCGCCCCTGTAGTCTTGTTCTCGCCCCCCTACGGACATTCGAGTCTGCAAGCCAATATCCGAACCAATTCTTCCCGCTGATTTGAATTTTGAGGAAATACGTAGAGCCGGCCACCAACTTACATACAACAACAAAGCAAGACTGATCAAGACCGATCCAGCCCGATCTTGGGTCGCTGACGGAGATCCAATTCAAACACTCTGTTCGACCGTCCACGCAACAACACATATCAGCTGGCTGCTGCCGGGTCCAGACGCGTCGTCTTCTCTTATTAATTAGTAGGGTCTGGCCATACCAACTCGAAAGCTTATCAACAGTACCATATATTTAATAGCATAACACAAACATAACAATATATCTCACACCTCTACTCAACCTTCACTTCCATCTTCTCCCTCAGTGGGTTTGTAATTGCCCCTCATCTCTTCAGACAATGGGTATAAGCCACTCACCGCCCACTCTGGAGGCGAGCCACGAGCCCGTGTCAAGTATGTACAGACAAGTCTCGCTCCTACCACTCCTATGCAGACCCTGTGGATGGTGTGATACACGCGGAGAGTCCCAAGCGGCCTAATGAGAAGAGTGTGTGTTGTTTTGGGGGTGGTGTGCAAACAGGTCTGACGAGTCGATCAGGGACTTCCTTCGAGCAAGCTCAGCAGCAGCAGCAGCCGGCCCACGCCGACGAGCCAGCGGCCTCTTTAATATACACCGCCCTCCATCCCACTCGGCTCAAATCGCTCCCGCCTCCCTCGCCCGACTTGATCCTCAAGCAGCCCTCCGAAAAGCTGCCCGCCGCCCACTTTGACTTGGCCTCCTCCTCCGACTCCTCCGCAGACGCTATGATCTACCCCTCCCCCCAGGACTTCGCCTCCCTCAGAAAGGTCCCCGGCAAGATCTACATCAACACTTATCTCATCGCCTTCGTCGAGTTTGCCGAACGGTTTAGCTACTACGGCACCACCGTCGTCTTCACTAATTACATGTTGGTGCTTCTTCTTGTGTTCCACCTCTCTTCGGCGGGGAGAGCAGTCAGCCCATTCCACGCAAATCCGTCATTGCTCATGTTTCAGGCTTGATTTGGTTACATCCAAGCCAGTTGCACCTGGCATGCCACACCATAGCACCAGTTTTTTTTGAGATCTCTGCCTCCAGGGCAACCCTCGTCTGAAGATAAGTATTGACAATCACCATGTGCTTTTCTGTGTGTTCAGTCAACGGCCGCTTCCGGAGGGCTCTACCACCGGAGCCGGGGGAGTCCAAGCGGGAGCGCTGGGGATGGGCCAACAGGCGTCGACGGGGATCACCACGTGAGTCGTCCACCGATCCTTTCTTTTTCTGGGCGGCACATGATCATTGAAACTGACTCTGGGGGAGAATTTTGTGCTCGATTGACGACGACGATACTGCAGCTTCAATTCGTTTTGGGTCTATCTGTGTCCATTGGTGGGGGCCTATGTGGCCGACGCCCATCTGGGCCGATACAACACCATCGTCGTCAGCATCTTCATCGCCCTCGTCGGCCATACTCTCTTAGTCATCTCGGCGATCCCGACGGTTATTGTCCATCCGAACGGCTCGTTTGCCTGTTTCATTGTCGCCATCATCGTCAGTTGTCCCCCCCTGAGAGCTTACAGCTTTATAAAGAGAGGAACTACCTAGTTGACTCCTGCCCCCCGATATCGGTTTGTGTGGATTGGTGCTTTTGCTTGCAGATCATGGGCATCGGCACCGGCGGGTTCAAGCCTAATATCTCGCCCCTCGTCGCCGAACAAGCTGGCACCGATACCCAAAAACCCCACATCCATGTCCTCCCCAAATCCAACGAAAAAGTCATCGTCGATCCCGCACTCACGGCCAGTCGGATATACATGTCTGTTTTCATTATCTGTCAAGATCTTTTCTTGCTTGAACTGATACATTTTCTTTTCCCCTTGGGCTTTTAGGTATTTTTATTTGATGATTGTTCGTCTCGTTTTGTGTTTTGGGGGGTTTCCTCATTGATGGTGGAACTTGTGTGTATGCTGATTCGTTGTGTTTTTTTGTTTGGACGCCCAGAACGTGGGAGCATTGACTGGACAAATCGGGATGGTCTATGCGGAGAAATATGTAGGATTCTGGCTAGGTGAGCAAGTAAAGATTTGCATGTGGAAGTGTGCAGCTAGCGTTTGAGAAGCCTGACACCGGACCGGTTTGAGCTCAGCCTATCTGCTCCCGACGCTGCTATTTTGCACATGTCCATTGGTGATGATTCTGGGGAAGCCATTGTACGTGCTGCGCCCACCGACGGGCTCGGTGTTTGGCAAAGCCGTCAAGCTCATGAAGCTAGCCGTCGTCACCAAGCTGCGTCGAGCCAAGCAGTCGCATCAGCAGCCGATCCCCTTCTGGGAGGCCGTCAAGCCCTCCACCCTCGGCACTCAGAAACCCGCTTGGATGAACTTCGACGACCAGTGGGTCGACGAGGTCAGGAGAGGCGTCAAGGCTTGTCGCGTCTTTCTTTGGTTCCCAATGTACGCTCTCTTCTTGCCCCCCCCCCCCCCCCCTATCTTGCTCTCAACTTTTTTTTATTGATTACTCCTCCTTGACTGGGTCTACCGATACATTTCAGCTATTGGCTGACGTACAATCAGATGGTCAGTTGCACCCAAGTACCTTTCATGGCGGACATGTTAGATAACCGTTTCCATTTTTTGTTGCGTCTTTTGATTCTGGTCTGTAGAATAACAACTTGACTTCGCAAGCCGGAGTGATGAACACGCATGGGCTGCCGAACGACATCCTTTCGAATTTAGATCCTTTTGCGCTGATCGTGCTGATCCCGATCGTGAGTCGCCTCTTGACCACTAGAGCCTGATGTGGAGCTGACTAGGACGAATCCAAATGCTGTACCGGGTTACTTAGTGCGACATGTTCATCTACCCAGCGCTCCGAAAAGCCGGGATCAACTTTGTAAGCCGAGATCCATATTGCCCCATCCAGCCTTCTGCTTGAGTGGCCAGCGGAAGCTGACCAGGCCCGGTGATTGTATGATGAAGTCTCCGATCAAGCGGATCACCGCCGGCTTCATCACCGGGGCGATGGCGATGGGCTGGGCGGCGCTGACCCAGCATTGGATCTACGAGCGGAGCGAGTGTGGCTATCGGGCCGGCGACCCCCACTGCAAGCCCGTCGACATCAACGTCTGGGTCCAAACCCCCTCCTACATCCTCATCGCCCTCTCTGAAATCCTCGCCTCCATCACCGGATTAGAGTACGCTGTCTTTTTGCTGTCTGCTCTTCATCTCTCTCTTTCTGGGAATCCTAAATTGCCTTTGATCCGCTAACATCCGGTCCTCCTTTAGATACGCTTTTGCCCTGGCGCCTAAAAATATGCGAAGTCTCGTCACCGCCCTGTTTCTATTCCAGTCGAGTTCCCTTCTTTCTGTTTACCTTCTTTTTTTATTCAGCGTTCATATCTCAAGTACTGACGTCCCCCCTTTCGGTCCAAAAACGGCTTGTATAGGTCGGCCATCGCGAGTGCGATTGGAGAGGCTTTTAACCCGCTTTCCGCTGATCCTCTCTTAGTGTAAGTTTGCAGATGATCTGATGGCCGACACTGGAACTGACTCATCTTTCAAATTTTTTTCCTCGGGAAATGGATCTATTTTTTTGTGTAATCATTTTAGTTGGAATTATGGCACGTAAGTCAAGTAGTCCATGGCCTTATAAAGAGTCTTATGGATCCAGAGACTTTTTTTTGGGGGGAAAGAGCTGACGGCGAAGAAATTGGAATTGATTGGATATGACAGGATGGCAGTTTTAGCGTTTGTGGCGGGGATAGCGTTCTTCTTTGTGCACCGGAAGATCGACGAGGAGCACGAGCAACTAGTCCGTCTGCAAGAGGGCACCGTGCCGAGCGGGGCCAAGAAGGCTCTGGATCCCAAGGAGGTCGACAACAACCAGATCATCATTCCCAACCATGATGATGATCAGCAGCAGGAACAGCAGCTCGAGGACATCATCGATCATGACCACCATCATAACCTCGTCATCGCCGAACACGAGGTCTTCAAACATCCTTAGTCGATCATCATTGCTTTTTTCTTCCTCTCATGGGCTGCCTCATGTATCCCTCGGTCCCGCCTCTCTTATTCCGTTTTTTTTTGGTCCTTAGACTTGTCGGCTTTATCCGTCATCCAGCTTTCTTTGCGCCGGGGACATAACTTCTTTAGTCTAGAGATCGTGCTCCTGTATCGTCTCTCGACTGCTCTTGTTATTGTTATTGTTATTACCTCTATCTTATCTGGCTCTTCGAGCTCTTGTTGAACAATTTACCTTTTTTTTCTCTCTTGAGCATTGCATTTTCCTCCTTTTTTTTCTCTTCTTCTCTCTCTTTGTATCTTTTTGAATTCTTGCCTTTTTTATTCTATTTTATTTTTGTGGTGTTTTTTTTGGGGGGGCTGGATAGAGTTGTATCACCCAAATATCATTTATTTTTTTTCTGGTTCTGGTTCTGGGTTTGGGTCTCTTATCATGAAGGATGTACACTTGATCTTCCCAACCGTCCAATTTTTCTGCCCGTTTATGTTGATCAAGAGCACAAGGGGTTGGGATTGTATATATCAACCAACCCGAGTGTTCTTTGGAGTCGTTTTCTTTTTTATGCAGGCGAGAGTTGAGTTAAGTTGGCTGGATGGAAAGTGTGTGCGGTTAAACAGTTGCAGCATTGATGGCTATAGACGGCGGCGGCAGCGGCATCATCAATCATCCCATAAAAGAGTGCTCATCATCTCGAGGGATACAACTTTCTTCTGCCATAGATGATGTTTTTTTTTGCCTTTGTCCCTGCATCCCTGTCTGTATCTGATGGGGATCTTCCCTCATTCTCTTAGTCCATCGACTTCGTTCCTCTTAAATATTGGCCTGCACTTGTTAACAGCGGTATGTGCTCACATCCATTGGAAAAATGAATGCAGTCTTCCCCCCAACCACCTGTACCGGGTACCCTCCATATCCCTTAATAATCATTTGGACACACATCTGCAATCATAAAACAAAACAAAACAAAACACGACAAGACTGCAAAGATAACTCATAAACCATTTAGACTTTTCAGGCAGCCTTATATTGATCATGCATTTGAATTGACGGAAGAGAACGAAAACTTAATTATGCTCTGTTAATGGTATGTGATCATAATCAGGTTGAAGTAACTGCATCCTCAATTCTTGATTTCTTCGGCTAATGTATTCTTCATGTAACTCACCATCATTGAAAACTTGTGGGACTCAGGTGAGGGTTTTTTGTTGGATGTTGGAAATTCATTTGCAAATGCAACAGGGGTATTCATCAAAGCTTGACCATAAATCCATCAACACTCATATGTAAATGAATTGGGACAAGGACTATCTAAATAAACAGTTCTGTGAAAAAATAATAATAATAATAACTCATGAGCTTCATTTATGCACCAACTTTGAAGACCACTCATCCACAATGAGTCAAAACTTCAAGCTACAAAACAGATACATGATTTTAAGTGTCACAAACTCACTCATCAGAGGATTTCATGTTGGCTTCACAGCCTCTGTGCTCTTCAAAGCAAGAATTGCAGGCTCTGAAGTTATGTTTTTGGTGAGAAGATAGCTAACTTACAGTCTGTGATTCTGACTTTATAACAGGGGGCTATCAGACCGTTTCCTGTTGGATCTGGGACCCTCACAGTTGAGATTTAGACCCAACAAGTCTAGATTTTTGCAGGGAAATCTAGCGTCCAATCCAAGGCTCTAAATGGAAACCGGGGGAGCCACAGATTCTGAAAGGAAGTGCTCTACTTGTGGAATTCCTCAAGTTTGCATGATAAGCCTTGTAAAATGCAGCAACCCATTCTTTACATACTTGACTTTGCCTTGTTTTCTTTGGAGTTTTGAGTTATGGAAGCATAATCACAAGAGGAAGAGGGAATCAACCACAGTCCACATCAAGACATCTGAGATAAATGGACCCCCAACATCAGACTGCATCTCTTGAGATCCCGAGTTTGACTGTCATAAGTACACACAGCACCACACATATCCATGATACTTGTGTGTCAATGAATCATTATCATTCAACTGCATTATTCTTTTGGGTAAAGCCTGAAGGTAGAGAAGTTAATGCAATAATTTACAGATAGCCACAGCTCACTAAACAATACATTTTGAAGATTTTTCCAGGGACTTAGAATGAGTAAGCCCACTTGCAGCAGGGGTCTGCATGAGCGACCTCAGGGAATATACACGAAAAAGCTGATTGTCTTTATTTTGGAGCAGCATAGCTGGTTTTAATGCTAATACAACACGGGGTTCTCTGAAGGAGATAAACATGTATTCTCAAGATCAATAAGAAGAGAACAGTATTCCAACAATCTTCATTTACAGATAATCTGGCCCTGTTGGTTTCTTGACTCCTTTTTACCATTGGGGCATTCACATCGCTTTGTTTTAGGATTGAAGAAAGTCTTTGGAGCTTTACAATTCCCAACACCACCACCAGTATTCACACCGGTACCAGTACCAGCATTGTTTGTCTGAGCCACTGCCAATTTTTGTCCTTTATTCTTCTGGGCTGTCTTCAATTGAGATGCCGCCGCCGCCTGTGTTTTCTTTTTCTTCCGCGGCAAGGGTGACCTGCGGACGATGCCAGCTGCTGAGGGGGATGCATGATTTGTGATCCGGGTTGTAGCTTCTCCGACTTCACCTTTGACGGCTATTGGTGCGTTAGCCTGATCCTCTTCACACTGAGCTGACTGCATAATCAGTGATATCGTCAACACGATAGCAGCAAGAAGCCAAAGATTCTTCGAACAGAACATGCCACCTGATACAATTTGAATCATAATGATCGATTAACTGAGGGTTCAAGTATTTATGTCCAAAGCGGTACATTTATGTCAGCGTCAGGCTTCGAGATAGGTTTGAAGCGGAGTGAAGATAAAAAACCTGTAACGACGAACCTGATTTTTTAAATGAACTGTGTGTCTGAACTCGTTTACTAAGATAAGAGGGGCTTTGTATAGAATGATTGTTTCAGCAATGCCAGAAAGCTGGAAGACTAGCAGAACTCAGCCGATCAAATAGTATGACAGGTTATACTCTTGCTTGATGAAGAAGGAAGGGTAGAGCAGATGAGATCACACCAGGCGATCACCTTTTATCTAGCAGAGAGTAAGAACAGGTCGCGCTGTTTTTTGAATCAAGTTATGGCAAGTGTTCAACACTAGATAAAATAGCAGTCTTGAATCAAAAGCAACTAAATATGATGGAGTCAGTCAAACCCGTGGGTGATGGTGAGTACTGGACATTCTCATCACTGGCAGCTTCCCTTTATATAGCACTGAGGCATCTTGAGACTTCGGTTAGATTTCACCTACTTTTACGGCATGTTGTTATGTGAAGCTAATTGAGCACAGCCATGTCCTTCGACCCCAGAATACAGTAAGCAACGATGACCGAATGCCTCAAGACCGAATGACTCAAAAACGTGCAAAAATTAGCTGATGCCTTGGGTCAAGGTCTACATGTAGTATGGATCACTTGTAACATGCCAATTTATTAAAGCAACTGATTTGGGGTAGTCCAGGCAGCCAAATTACCAAGCCTTCGGCAGGTGTGCGGAGTGAGATGTTTCTCCACTTGAGCACACTTCAATATTGCTAAACTGTTACCAGCTACTAATTACTTCGGCTCACTACCGAGGCCCTTGCACTGCTTTTCTCCTGCTGGCTTACCGATCCTGTTGCCGAAGTTCCTTCCAACGTCTCTTGTGCGGCTTATCCACACATGGCTAGTGAACAACATCACAATCTGTTGTGAGACCAGCGAGTTATGTATGCTCAGCTGGCCTAGTAGTGTCAGCCACAGAGCACCTTTCACAGTACGTGAAATGTACCTAGTAACTGCAAGAATAATAACTAATTGAATACTGGAAAATACTATACATTGCTGTTAGAATAATAAATAAATAAATATGTATTTACATTTAATCTTAATTCATAATTTATATTTAATAATTCTATAATTAACTGTGAAATCCCCTTGAGTAGTGTACATATAATATCACTAGGATTTCACAGAAATATCATTAGAATAAAGTATTAAAACATTGTTTATTCTTATACATTATGTACATATTTTATAAGCCATAAATAATTACATATGTATAAAGAATCAGCTAGTAGAAGCGTGAAATGGATGAGGAATAAGCTATACACATTTATCTGAAGCTTACCCATCCTTGATCACATCATCAGGGCATCAGATTGCATCATAACCCTCTTGGATGGCGTCATCAGGACCCTTTTGTGCTCTAATTCAAAGCTTGCATAATTCAAAGCAGCCTACGCGGGAAAGGAGCCCAAATTCTACATGCAAGACTGAATTATGCATGAAGGACATACATTTCTCATGATCACAAGCTTGCATAAGCAGATTTACACGTATGCAACCAACTCTACAATTGCACAGCCCCTGCACAGTAACTGTAACCTTTTCAATTACGTGAGAAATAGGCCACAAAACTCAATTATGCATGTATGATCTCATGTCCTAGGACCTTCCACCCATGCATAGCACTGCACAGCTGCAGCTCCCAGCCTTACACGAAATTGTAGAGCTGCTAAGAAGCTCCCTAGTGCCCTGAGGGCCTCTCCTCTTCCCCTGAGCCCCCTGTAGAATATTTAAGGAGCTCAGATTCCTACCTTTTCCCCCCAGGAAATTCTAGTAGCATCAAACCAACACTTGTACCGTGATTATTAGTGCTTCAAACCACCAATAACATTACAACTCAGCTACCTTAGACCTAAATAGATTTACTTTGCTCAGATTCAAGGCATTTCTACTTATCTCTATTGCATAAAGAATTATCCCCCAGGTTAAACAATTCTGGTCCTTAAGTGTTGATACACTTATTAATCTAGATTGTTGTTAAAAGACTAATCCCAAGTGAGTTGAAGAAGTCCTCACCTTGGAAGCCTATTAATCCATACAAGAGGATTGATCCGGATGCCCAATTGAATAATTGGATGAGTCAGCAGTAGAAGTACCATTCCTCACTGACTCCTCCCTGTTTCTTTTACAGGTTGAGGGATTTAACCACGAATAAACCTTCTCAATTACTCTTCTTGTTAACACTCAGAGCACAACCCTTACAGGTTAGTAGCATAGAGGCTGACAAGTAGTATACATGTAACATTTCTGCCTCCCAGTTTGGACATTGGAATCTAGGGGATTTTTTTTGTTCTTATTCTCAATCTGACAAAACATTTTCATATAAGAGGGGCAAATACCCATTCCTTTATATAAGATGGGCACTTTATATGTGTGATATCTTTGTGAGGTGGAAGTAAAAGTTGCCATGTGGGCATCATCATTCTTTGGGAAATATCAACTTCCTGTAAGAATTTGAGTGACATGACAATGATTACTAATGTTGAGGATTCGATCTCATCCTTCCTCCATTACATTATTTTCATACATTATTTTCACTTTTTATCCAAAACGTGGAAATATTAGCATGGATAACTGCAATAAGCTTGTGTGAGGTGGATATTTAAGAGCCTTGGTATCTTGGAGTACTAGATGGGATGCTTAAATTTTGGCTTAGACTAAGCTAGCTTTTTACATGATAATTAAGGAAAGATTTTGTGAAATTGAAGATTTAACTTGCGCTCTGGAACCCTTACAACTTCCTGAGCTCAGTAAGCCTTAGAGGTTCCCATTCTGCGCTTAATTTAAGGCTAAAGATAAGCTCAGAATTTTCCAATCCAAGAATAATTTAAGCTGGGTTCAGGAAGCCAAAAGCTTATTGTTAACCCTACTATTGTATCCTTTTTTGGGCTGTTACAACACCTGGCCTTCCATGCAAAAGCTGGTTTTTCTTTTATTCTTTCTCATATTTTTTCCTTATATTTTTCTTTTTTCACAGCTGTGAGTAATTCCTCCTTCTACAAATGGAGACTGTACATTCTTGAGGCCAAGAGGGATTCCTTCCAGCCTCAAGACTTGTACAAGACTGTACAGTCTAAAGGCCCAGAGGAATCCCTCTCAGTTTTCATTACTGGGGGGGCATCAACACTTGTACAAGTCTCAATGGCAGGAGTAATCCCTCCCATCTGTAAAAAAAGAAAAGAAAAGGTTTTTGTGCAGAAAAAGGGTGTTGAAAGAAACCAATAGTAAAAAAAGAAAAGAAAAGGTTTTCATGCAGAAAAAGGGTGTTGCAAGAAACCAATAACCAGGTTTATGCATGTAAAAATGGGTTACAATTATTAATGCCCAATTTTTATTAGATTTTCATGAAATAGATAATGGTTAAACTCTGTCTCTATTCAACTTAATATCACAAGCAACTAAATTTTTGATATTCTGTAAGCCTAGAAAAAAGACTTTTGATAAATTTGAATGATAGTATAATTTTTAAGATGTATTACAATTGCTTCATTTCTGAAATATATCATGGACATCTACCTGTAGAGCGGTTAATTCTTGCATTGTTTGGGCACACACATGTTCCATTTGGGAGTAATATCTGATCAGGGCGGCATTTCTGAGGAGCATTTCCACACTGTCCATTTTGTTGTAGTACTTGATTTTGAGGACAAGCACAGCTGTTATTTTTCTTCACTTGGCCAGTTGGGCAGCCACACTGATTAGTATTGACTTGAACTTGATTGTTAGGGCATCGTTGACATTGATTGTCTTTGTTTAAGAATGTGTTTTTGTCTGGACATGGGGATCCATTTCCACCACCAGTCTCCACAAAACTAACTCCCTTACCATCCTTGACACCACCATTACCCCCACTGTTTCCCCCACCACCATTTTCCCCACCACTGTTCCCCCCACCAGTATTTCCCCCACCATTACCTCCACCAGTATTTCCCCCACCATTTTCCCCGCCACCATTTCCTCCACCAGTGTTGCCCCCACCATTTCCTCCACCAGTGTTGCCCCCACCATTTCCTCCACCAGTGTTGCCCCCACCATTTTCTCCGCCACTGTTTCCTCCACCGGTATTCCCCCCACCACCGTTTCCTCCACTAGTATTCCCACCACTATTACCCCCACCATTTTCTCCACCACTGTTTCCTCCACCGGTATTCCCCCCACCACTGTTTCCCCCACCGCCATTTCCTCCACCATTTTCCCCACCACTGTTTCCTCCACCAGTATTCCCACCACTATTACCCCCACCACTGTTTCCCCCACTATTACCCCCACCACTGTTTCCTCCACTATCACCCCCACCATTTTCCCCGCCACTGTTTCCTCCACCATTACCCCCACCACTGTTACTTCCTGGGTCTGATAAGAGTTCTGTTGTTCCTCCATTCCCAGAACTGTTGGGGGGTGTCACTTCACTCAAAGAAGCTGTTTGTGGGTTTGGAGTAGTTGGAGTTACAGTTTGGTTGAAATCTGGTTGGACATTCTTGGGCCGATCCTGGCGCTCCTCCCCTCGCTGGGACCTCTGTGGTGGGAGCTGCTGTGGTTGAGGCTGTGGCTGTGGTTGAGGTTGAGTCTGTGGTTGAGGTTGCGGCTGTGGTTGAGGCAGCGCTGGTGGTGGTGTTTGAGGCTTTTGTGGTTGTGCTTGAGGCTGCAGCTGTGGTTGAGGCTGCGGCTGTGGTTGAGGTTTCTGTGGTTGTGTTTGAGGCTGCACCTGTGGTGGAGGCTTCTGTGGTGGTTGAGGCTTCTGTGGTTGAGGTTGAGGCTGTGGTTTTGGCTGTGCTTGTGGAGGTGTTGGTTTTGTGGGGGGCTGAGGTCCTTGCGGGATCGGAGATCTGCGCATGAAGGGACCTGCGAGCGCGATGGATCGATGGGCAAGAGTGGAGGCAATCCTACTTTTTCGATATTCCCTCTTGACGACTAGGTGAGATTGTATCACATTCTCTTCACACGAGGCCGGTCTGATAGTTAGGAATATCGAGAGAATCACAACGACATAGAGCACCAGTTTTCCCGAGTAGCATGCGGCATCCTTTTGTATTTGAACCATGATCTTCAGTAGCTGAGGTGGTACAGATTCGTGCAAAATAACGGTTCATGATTTTGTTAATGTGTGCCTTTGCGACATGCTTCAAGCAAGACTCACCCAAAAGTTGAAAAAATAAAAACGCGATAGGAGCACAACTAATGCGAGCCTTGATCCCCAATGGAAACTGAAAGGGAAAGGAGAAAAAAGACATCTTTGTCAGCTCGCTGAAGCAGTTTATAGAAGAAACCATCTGTTTTGCTTATGGCAATCTCTGTTTGAGAGCTCAGTAAATGCTAACATACCTGGGCGACTAGCAGAATGCAAAAGATTTTGATATTCCAAAGGTTGATCGTTTTGCCTGATGATCCAGTCTGATCAGAAGCACGGGTAAATAAAGCTCGCACCCGGCGAATAAGAGGAAGGGGAATAAGAATTACTGGTAAAGATGTCTAGTGCTCAGCACTGAATATATGAATTGTTATATTGAAGATATCTATGAGTTCTCTGAACTATATCATTGAATAAATGGGATCGCTGAGTGGATGAAGAACTCGAATTGACCAGGTAGATAAGAAGATGGCGAGGCGGTCGAAAACTGAGCACACTGAGTAACTTTACCTTTTTATAATGGTAGATGGATCACTCGCAAGATGAGTGACCGCGGGGACATAAACGCACCAGGAAAAATTCATAGTCAGTTGCTACCAGGTGATTTTCATTAATGGTAACACCAGCTGCCTTTGTATCATTGAATTTGAATCATCGAATATAGTGTGTCTGACTGCTAACAGAAAGTGACAATGAACTTTTCCCGGGGTTGTGGTTTGCCAATGAATACCGTGACCAGCAGGCAAGACGATTAGAACACACAGCCTTGAATTGTGCTAGATAAAGATATGAATCAACTGTCGCCGAGTGAAGCACACTGGTAGACTGATTGAGCCCTCACAGCCCCTCTTCCTCTCCCCTGTGTCATCGGTCGAGTTTGAGGTTCTTATAAAAATGTTAACATGGTAAGATAAAGATCAAAATTGGTTGAACAGGTATGTTTAAATATTAAGAAACCTTGGCAGGTAGTCTAGCTACGGAGTCTGCCATCTGGGGAGCACATTGGCAGCGGGCCAGTTGTCAGATACGAGTGAGCGGTGTATTCATCATGTGCCATTCAAATTAATCATCGAGAGGTCGTCAGTCTTTATGAAATCTGTTTCTTCATGTCACCACTAGGTACGTCCGGAGGATTTCGCTTCTCTTAAGTCTCATTGGCGACACAGGCCCACTTCTTCCCTCTAACTGGGGCCATTGTTTAAGATATAATCTGTGCTTTTTTGCTTTCAAAATCACAAATGGTTGTGTTGTTTTCACTTGCCTGTACATGCATGACATGTTGGTGATGTGGAAGTAGCACACGGCATTCCTTGGGCAAAATCAATTTCCTCCAAGAATTTGAGTGTGAGGTGGCAATGCATACTAATGCTGGTACAATTTTTGGTGAGTTGGAAAACCTGGGGCCCAAGGACAGTTTTGTGAAAGGATAATTATTAGCATTTCTTCAGTGATGTTGTGAAAGAGAGACACAAGACTGAAAGGAAACAGAAAGAGAAAGAAAAAAATGAGTAAGAGAAAAATGAGAGAAGACAAAGAAGAAATGAGAAACATCTTTGGGACCAGAGGAGACTTTTGTGGAAGGATGAGGAAAGATGAATCCCTCCAGGAGCTCACTTCTGATCCAGGTTTAATAGTGCCCGAGTTGTGGCATGTCTGTTAAATAGCTGATGACATGTTTGAAGCAAACAGATGAAAAGAAAGGACAGACAAACCAAACAATAGTACTATTGAAATTTTGATTTTTCCAAGGGAAAGCCTGCAACCAATCATCACTACAGGATGAAGATAAGTTGGTCATGGAAATTTGTATGATTTAAGTTCCTGAATTCAACATTCACACCCTACATTATCTGATCTGATTGTCATGGATCTTCAAGCTCTTCAAGATTGCTTTATGGATAGTTACAGGTCAACAAGTGGCTGCCATTATGAGAATCAGAGCTTATTTCCCCCTTCAAAATTGACAACACGTACTAACATAAGATAAAAGAAAGAAAGAAAGAAATTTTGCTGATGTTGGAAAGGTAATTAATATGCTATATCATGAGTGCTAGCCTATCTTGAAACACAGGACTGAGACAGAAATTTGCATCATCTTCTTCTTTTAGAGGATCAGGCTGCTGCTTGAACACAGATTATTTCACTTTTGTTATCATTTTCTTAGACACAAAATGAATTCTTGTATTGTTGTTATATAATTATTCTAATCCATTGGAGAGGCTAGGAGGTATAGAAAACTGTGAACCATCATTTGGGCTAAATTTCCCAGGAAGCAGAATTTCTATAAAACAACAAAATTGATTTATATTATGTATTGGTTTGATCTCATCAATTAATTTACTGTCTGAAGCACCATAAGACTTCATATCTTTATAATTGAGCTTCTGGTAATCCTATTCTCACAGGAGAAACCAGTGAGAGTTCCCCTGAAACAAAATTTTAACTCTCCAAAGGGTTCATTTTTTTACTAGTAAAAGCCCTCATGATAATGGTGATAGAGCAGCCATTTTGAGATCAATTATCTGGAAAAAAAATACTGAACCATGGCTGATATGTTTGAGCCTCCCTGTTATGTGAATGTGCTTGTTGTAGCAATGTAAGCCATTTTTGGTGGATTTGGCTGCATATTCCTAAAAAAAATGGGAATATATGTGGGTGTGTGACCCTGAAATAATTAAGCTTTTTTTCAATCCCCACTATTGGGCTTTCCAAAGGGGGATAATTCCCTTTCTCTTCTCAGGCTTTGTTTTGTCATCCACAATTGCCACAGACCATTATTGCAAATCATCAAATCAGAATCTAGGCTTGATTCTTTCAGGCTGTGCAAATGACACAGCATGAAAATCCATCTCAATAACCATGTGGCTGTTTGGTGCACCTCTGGAGTGGATGATTGGAACAGCAGTTTAGGAGGATGGGTTGGCATGGTGCCGGTCAGAGAGGATGATATGGAGTTGTTGTAAGGGAAAGTAGAGGGTGATCAAAGCACAGAACCAGCACTTCTGACACAAAATATTTTTTTTGAGGGGGGGGGGGGACCAAAATCTTGGAATTGGCAGGGAATATACATTGCCGGCCACTTCTGTCATAAGAGATTGGATATGACATGGCCTCCCAAAAGCAGTTGCAAGGCCCCATCATCATCTGTTCACCCCCAAAATATTTGCCACAATTGTTTATGACAATCATGGATGGCCAAACAAAGCCTTATTGATTTCACACTATTGGGTTTATACAGGTGCAGTCTGTGATAATATTTGCCCTTAGGATTACTGAAAAAATATTTTTTACATAAAGTTTTTGGATTGATAGAGGTGTAAACAGAAGAAATATGATCTTATTTCTCTATCACCTCATCTGAACACCACTGAGGTCTTGTAAGCTTACAGCTGAGATAGTAATGTTGATATATTATCTTGCTTGCTCTCTTAAATGATTTGTATTCTCTCAAGTGAGAACTTGAAATTCAATCCATGAAAGAAATGTCCAAGAGGATTTATATTGAATCTTTTATGCAAGAAAATGAATTGTCTATTTTCTGGTCAAATGAAAACATTTTGAGAAAATATATCTAATATAAGTATTGAATTAAATAAAAAATGTTCCTTTTAATGAGACTAGTAGAATTATTTTTAAACTGTAATACAAGCCTGATTTGGACTTGAATTCCTTTAGTGTCTGAATCTATCATTGACATCTACCTGTAGAGCGGTTAGTTCTTGTATTATTTGGGCAGACACATGTTCCATTTTGAAGTAATATCTGATCTGAGCGGCATTTCTGAGGAGCATTTCCACATTGACCATTTTGTTGTACTGTTTGATTCTGTGGACAAACACAGATGTTGCCTTTCTTTACTTGACCATTTGGGCAGCCACACTGATTGAAATTGACTTGTACTTCATTGTTGGGGCACCTTTGGCATTGATTGTCCTTGTTTAAAAACGTGTTTTGGTCTGGACATGGAGATCCATTGTTCCTTGTGCCAGTCTCCGAAAAACTTGGTTGAAAATCACCTCCTCCTCCTCCTCCACCACCACCACCATTACCCCCGCCATTGTTCCCCCCACCACCGTTTCCCCCGCCATTGTTTCCTCCACCACCATTATTGATTGGGTTTGATAAGAATTCTGCCGGTCTTCCATTTCCAAAATTGTTTGGGGGTGTCACTTCGCTCAAAGAAAATGTTTGTGGGTTGTTAGGGTTAGTTGGAGTGACATTTTGGGTGAAAGCTGGTTGGAATTTCTTTGGCCGGTCCTGGTGCTCCTGCCCACGCTGGGACTTCTGCGGTGGCAGCTGTTTTGGCTGCGGTTGAGGTTGTCGTTGAGGCTGTGTTTGGGGTGGTTGTTGGGGCTGCTGGGGCGGTTTTATGGGTGGTTGATTTCCTTGTGGGATGGGTGATCTGCGCATGAAGGGACCTGCAAGCGTGATTGATCGATGGGAAAGAGTAGAGGAGATGCTATTCTTTCGATATTCCCTCTTGACAACAATTCGAGATTTCACCAGATTTTCTTCACAAGAAGTTGGTCTGATGCTGAGGAATATTGAGAGCATCACAACAGCATAGAGCGCCAATTTTCCTGAGTAGCATACACCATTATTTTGTATTTGAACCATTGTCTATAGTGGTCGAGGCGGTGTCAACGGTGGGTCGCTACACTAACCATAGCGGTTAGTGTAGCGTAACGCAGCGGAATTCCCGTTAGCGTTAAGCGTAGCGTAGCGGAATTCCGCCACGACACCGCTAACGCTACGCGTGTGGGCCACAAAAAAGGGCCCACTACGCTGCGCTACAGCCGTTTTTAGCGGTTTTTAGCCGCTTTTTCCGCTAAAAGCGCTGTAGCGCAGCGTAGCGTAGCGAAAATGCGCTACAAAAGCGCTAACACTACCAAATTTTGGCGCAAAAAAAGCACCGCTACGCTACGCTTTTTGGGCCAAAAGCGTAGCGGCCCACCGCTGGCGGTGTGGAAGTCTGTCAAGTTTGAGTTTTTCAAGCAAACATCGCTTCTGATAATAGGGGGTATCAAATATAGGAAATCCACCATTAGAAACCAGTCACTTTCCCCAAAAAATATTTTTGCATCAAACGGCTCCAAAAGGGGTTAAATGAATAACCAACATGTTTAAGAAAGGGTGAATTTTTTCAAACCAGTCAATTAAATAATGGTGGACTTGGTTATATTTGATACCCCCTAATGCGAGCTTTCCTACTATGATGTTTCAAGTATTGAGGCTTACCTAAAAATCCAAAAATTAATTATGCGATTGGAGCACAAATAACGCACGCCTGTAATGTAACTAAAGGACACCAGAAGGAAAGAAGGAGAAACCCGTGGGTTTTTTCAGCTCGCTACAGATGAAATATTTTGTCTTCCCAGAATAGGTTCTATGTATTTGAGGGCTTAGGAAATGGTAACATACCTGATCGGAATGAAAAGGATTGTGTTATTCCAAACACTAAAAGGTCTGACTGATCACCAACGTTGATCACTCAGAGGCACGGGTAAATAAAACTTGCACCCGGCGAATTTTAATTTAACTAGGGAGGGGGAATAGGAATTACTAGTAAAGACAGTGCTCAGCACTAAGTAAACAAATTAATAAAGATGTTTTTATGAGTGCGCTGCACTATATCATCGAATAAAGAGGATTGATGAGTGGGTGGATCAATTGAAAGGAATCAAATGGATCAAGTGGATGACAAGATCAGTCAAAGACGACGGTGAGGATGTGGAAGACTGAGCGCACCAAGTGCCTTTTTATAATGGTGGATGCACCCAATGGTGAGTGACTGCGGTTATAAAATCCATGAACCAGGAACAATCCATAGTCAATTGCTACCAGACGAGTTCCATTGATAGTAATACGCGGCCTTTGCATTAATGAACATAAACAGTAATTGGCGATGAGTTTTGTCTTGGGGACAAATGATCATCGTGATCAGTAGACGGGACGACTAGAACACACGCAGCCTTGGATGCAGGCAGATAATTAAGATATGAATGTACTGTCACCAAGTGAAGCACGCCGGCAGATCCTCTTTCTCTCGGCTGTGTTACCGGTGGAGGTTCCTATAAAAACGGGCAACATGGTCAGAAAAAATTAGTTCAACAGGTATAATTCAATATTAAGAAACCTCGACGGGTAGGCTGGGTAGGGTGTCTGGGGAGCAAATTGGCAGCGGGCCGGTTAATAAACGCGAGCGAGCTGTGTCATAACTTGAAGAAAATAATTGGCGATGGAACTATAGAAAGTGAACGGCTACCAGGTTGGTCTAGTGCCAAAGAATACGTAACACATGTCGGGAGGACGAGGGATCAACACGTTGGCTTTGGAAAGATCTGTTGGTTTTCGATCCCTGAATTAGTGAGTTGACGATTGGCTGCTGCCCATGGTTCTAGTCAACCTCGGTCTCGACGTGGATTGCACATGGGGTTACTCAACTGGGACAAAAATATCGAAATTCGTACATAACTGCAAGATGAAATGGTTGCTGGGAGAATATCTGAACGGTGGTTCGGAGGCCCAGGCAACACACTATAAATGTGTCTGGCCCTTATAACGTCCCATGTAACCAAAATTCTGGTGCCATGACCAATCAACGGAGTAGAACGCCAATAAGACTCCCATTGCCTTATCATTGCGCAAGTAAATTGAGAGTACTCTAGCGCATTGTCAAAAATATATCAAACTTCTATGCTTAAAACAACCCAATCTGCAAGGAGGCTGGCGCTGTGCTTCCATGAGGGGGGGCAGGATGCAAAAATACCAAGGGCTGCGCTGTCAAGTGGAGTGGGGGGAGGGTAGTGAGGGTCCAAATATCATCTTCAGGTCTCAAATGGCCATGAAACTGATTTAAGAAAATAATTTTTGTACCAAGCCTGACGGTAACACCTAAAAATATGGATCTTAATCAACCAAAGATAAGATATATATTCTCCTCAGCAAAATCACAAAAAAACAGAATCACTTAACACTAACATTGGAACAACAAGCATTGCATGAAAATAAATTGTTAGATCGGACTATTATTACAGGTTTGCATAAATTTTTGGTAGCAACCCTTCACAACCCTCTCCTGCGGCTGCCCCAGTGGAATAATCATCCATTTTTGATGATCAGTGCCATGTTGAAACTTTGGCCGGTGTGGAACTACTCTTTGGGATGAATAGAGCTGGAGAGGGAAAGATGCTTTAATGGGCTGCCTCTCTGGTAAACTTGGGTAGAGTAAGATAACAAGAAAAAGATAAGAGTGTGGACTCTTAAGGAAAGTTGTGGCTTTGGAGATTTCTTGAGATGGGTATGTCTTCTGTCTTCTGGTCTTCTGTCTGAATAATACTAGTATCCCAAATGTTGATGGGCAACTACTAGGCTAATGAAGGGTGATCAGTTATCTGGATTGCTGGGGCAGGATCTGATGAGGAACAAATGAAGAGGGGAAAACAAGGCTCCTTATATACAAAATCTAGGGAGTGGCCAGCTTGTGGTTGGAAACACCATGGAACAAAATGGAACAAGAGAAAATTATCAAACTGAAACATGTGGCCCAATTGGTAGGCACTAAGATGAATGGAGGAAATGACATCAGAGACATGCAGGGATGAAATGTGCCACAACCAATGAGGGAGGAAGAATATACCAAAGAGATGAATGAACTAGCCAAATGTGTACTAGTGTGAGACATGAAGAATAACCCAAGAGGAATAGTGTGAAACCATAGAATGTGGCCCAAAGTGGAAATGAGACTAGAGTGAAAGTGGAATAGAATGAAACACATGCAAAGGCCAAGTGTGGAAGGCTGAATGGGGATTGATGATGTAAAGTTGCATGAAGTGATTATGTAATAGAGAAATGAAATGTGACTCCAGAGTGCCTTCTGTCCAGGGGGCTTGGTCTTGTGACATCCATGGTGTTGCAGGCTGGCTGAATATTCCAGAGGGGGGTTGTCTTGATCCTTGAGGGTCTTGTCATTCAGAGGGCTTGATATTGTACTTGAAGCTTTGATTTTGTGGGCCTCTTATTCAAGATTGGCTTACCACATCCACCCCCAAATTAGATGATGACCCCATCATCCAAACAAAGAAGAAGGCCAATCTTGATACTGACAGAATTGGGGTCAGGGTGAATCAGCACAAAAATGGGCACAAAATGATATACTTAATTTCACCTATTTGTAGGAGGAGTATGTCAGATAAAAAGGGAGGAATATAACAAGGAAAAAGGGATCAATGTTTTTGAGGGAAGGGTTTGGTTGATTTAGTAATTTATTCTAAGATTTTTTTTTTTTTTTTGGTTTGTCATATTCTACTTTTAACCACCCCCAAATTTGATATGAAGAGGGGTCCAGGATTTGTATTGCTTGAGGTTTGAGGAAAGAGGGTTTTGAAAATTTCTGAAGGGTGAAAATGATGTGCCTGTGGGTTTCAGCAAAAATTGAAGGCCTGATGCCCTCTCCCTTTTTTTTTTTTTTCTTTTTTTTTTTTTTTCTTTTTTTTTTTTTTTTTCTTACAAGTATCACATCCTGTTTTTTTTTTTTTTTTGATGAGACATGCAGTTGGTCCATAGTTGTTTGACTGACTACATATTGAGATTTCTCAAGCCCAAACCACTGCTCTGGCCAACCAATGTTTCAGGGAGAAAATCCTTTGAGGTCGCCAGGTCGGTGTTTTACCCGAATGGATAGAAGAAAAGGAACCCAGAAGAGAAAGTCATGTCGGATTGATTGGAAAGGGTTGATTAAGGGCCCAAAGAAGAAGAGCAGGCTTAGATAGCCATCACCTGAAAAAAACAAACACCGGCCGAGTCATGGTTGGCTGATTGGTACTATAAAGCCACAGTCTGTTGCTTGTTTTTCTTGGACTTCCAATCTGAAAATTCATCGTGATGTTTCCATTTGTGGGTAGGACTGACCCCCCTACTGCTCATTATTTGAACCTTCTGATCCTTCAAGCAAATAAGGACAGCTATAGTCAACGACTTCCTTGTGCCAATGTGAGTTCCATAAAACCATTCTAACATGTTTATCATTTTCTTTCTCTTCAGCTTGCTTGTTTGGTATTCCGATTGCAACTGATCACTTGCCTTCCCCTTTTTATTCCTGTCCAAGTGCTGAAGCAAAAAATCAGGATCTAAGAAAGAAAAACATGTCGCTTCAAGCGTAGTGTCCAGCAACCTCTGCTTATGATGTTTTGCATCAAGCGAGCCAACTGCAACAATACAAAACCAGTCGTTTGTAGTTATTCTCTTCCGACTCTGTAAGCGAACTGAAAATTTCATAGTTGCTGACTTCCTGGCCTCGCGATTTACATTTCCAGTGACTCTTGATCTTGCAACGCTTGAAGCAACATCATCCAAGTAGACTATAAGTATCATTCCAGTCAAACCTCTTGCAACATCCTGAGTTTGAGTGAACCTTCCAAAGCTGTTCTTTGACAGGACTGACTGCTTGATTTCTTTCCTCATCTCCTGATCCTTCAAGCAAACCAGAGCAACTACAGCCATAGATCTCCTCCTGTTTTCCCGAGCTTGACAGACAACTTGGACCCCACTTTTTGATAAAGGTAAGTCCTCCCCTGTTCTTCTCTTGTCCCTGCTTGACTGGAATTTAACCTCGGTATCCTTTAAACTGACTATTGATGGAATCGACTGCTTTCTTGTTCTTCTCTCC